CTCGGTGCTTTTAAAAGGCTTGTTTAAACTCAAGGCAAATGCTTTGCCTGGTAGTAGTTAATGTGTTCATGCTAGATTTATCTAAGGTTCATTTACTTAATGCAGCTTCCATTAGCTTGGCACATATTCATTTTGCATTTAAGAGTTCACGTTCCATTAATTTCTACACGAAATCTACTAAATTGGCCGTAGTGAATGTGTGTGTGAATGCGAGAGTGTATAGGTGTTTCCCAGTACTGGGTTGCAGCTCTAAGGGCATCCACTGCGTTAAACATATGCTGGAATAGTTGGCATTTTGCTGTGGCAACCCCTGATTAAAAAAAGGGACTAAGCCAGGGATGCCCAAACATGGTCCTGGAGGGCTGGTGTCCTGCTGATTTTAGCTCATCCTTGCAGGTTTGTTGAGGCAAGTTAGTTTCTAGAAAGCCTAATAAGAGCATGATTAGCTACCCAGGTGTGTCTGACTGGGGTTGGAACCAAACTTTGCAGGACACAGGCCCTCCAAGAGTTTGGACATGCCTGGACTAAGCTGAAGGAAAATGAATGAATGAATGAATGAAATTAAATCTAATTTAAAATCATTAGTTTTTTGCACTTTATTGCTGTTATTCTTATAACATACGATTTTTTTTTAACCTTTTTCCCCCCAGTTTTAGCTTTATTTTAAGTTTTAGTAATTCAGTTGTGTGTCTTTTTATTTGTATCATGCATTTTTTTTTTCTGTATACATTTTTGTTATTTGTATTTTAGTTTTGCTTACTTTAAATCAATGTAACTAAATGTAAATAAGACTGCTAGCTTAAAATAAAGTTATACATATTTAAGTTGATATATATATATACAACAATTTTGCCTGATTGTCGTGTGATATTCTGCCAGTTACAGCACTCGTACTGCCTCTTCACCCTTCACCCTTGTGTATTACTCCGCCCACATACAGCAACAAGCTGAGGATACTCTACAGTTTGACAAATATTGCAGCTTTTGGGCAACATAAAGTCCTTTTGAAGCTTTTTAGAGAAACATGTAGTCGTTCAGATATAAGGATAGTGTTTGTTTTTTCAATATTTTAAAATATCTGAGATACAATGCGTTAGCCTGTCTTTGAGCAAAGGCGGTTTACGATGTTCATCTAAAAGATGGCGAAAGAGACCGCATAATAAGCCTTAAGAGAAAACCAGCTAAATTTCAAACTACTGCTGATCAAATCTTTATTAAACAGGTAAATGGCTTCCTAAAGCCTGGTTTATACTTCTGCATCAAGTGATCGGCGTGACCCAAGGTGCATGCAATGCGCGTTGCTGTGCATTTATACTTATGCACGCTGTTTGTGTTCCTTTGAAACGCTTGCTGGCAGTAGGTGTTTATGTTCCTCTGTGTTGAGTATCTTCGTTGGTTCTTTGTTTTTTTATGAACGCGTCCTTAATGTAAAAGTGGCTCAAATTTGCTTATTTTGAGGCGGGAAGCGACGGACGTGCAACAACTTTAATCATAAGGTAAACTCAAAACAGCAGTTTCCATCTAGATCTCCTCCACGAGACTCCACACTTGTAAACACTCGCTCCATCTGGCTCCATCGACAAATAATAACTTGACCTCTAGTTGATCATTTTAAAAAGTGTCAGAAGGTCGATTTTCAGATGAATCCTTTGTTGAACTGCATCTCAATCATCACCAATACTGCAGAAGACCTATTGGAACCTGCATGGACCAAAGATTCTCACAGAAATCAGTCAAGTTTGGTTTGGGGTTGCATTCAGTATAGGGTCGTGCGAGAGATCTGCAGAGTGGATGGCAACATTAACAGCCTGAGGTATTAAGACATTTGTGCTGCGTTACATTACAAACCACAGGAGATGGCAAATTCTTCAGCAGGATAGCGCTCCTTCTCATACTTCAGCCTCCACATCAAAGTTCCTGAAAGGTCAAGGTGCTCCAGGATTGACCAGCCCAGTAACAAGACATGAACATTATTGAGCATTTTGGGGTAGGATGGAGGTGGCATTGAAGATGAATCTAAATAATCTTGATGAACTCTGGGAGTCCTGCAAGAACATTTCTTTGCCATTCTCAAACTTGATTTGAGTCATTGCAGAGATGTATGGATGCAGTCCTCCAAGCTCATGGGAGTCATGCACAATATTAATTCTTTTTCCACTGCACCATGACTTTATATCCTGTACTGAACATTATTTCTGTTCAGTGACAAGACTTTTTGTCTAAAAGTCAGACCTTACTGTCCTAATGAAATAATTCAAAATGAAGGCATGATCATATTTTATTTTGCTAAAATAAAACTTCTGATACCAAATGATCTACTAGAAGTCACGTTGTTTTACCTATCTCTAACAATGACCTGGAGGATATTTATTCTATTTGACTTCTTTTCCCTCCATATATTTTCCTGATTAAATCAAGCACAGAAACAAATACTTCCATGATGTATAAAAACCTGAATTGTAATTTATTTAATTCCCTTTTTTTTACATTACGAGTGCATATAGTCATGAAAATAATGTCAAAACAAGGCAGACATTCCTAAACTTAATAACATCGAAATTTAAAATAACACTAGAAATAGTATTTTGCTTTAAAATGCATGTTAAAAGTAAAAATCTGAATTTAATTCAAGCATTAATTGTCCAGGATCTTCTCTAACAGTCATTATATACAGTATATTGCAGGGGTTATACAGTACAGTCGTGGTTTTGTAAGTGAAGCAGAGCAGGGTCAGTTTTAGGTCCCACCCTCTCTCTGGTTTTCTTTTTCCAGCACAGCGAAGCCACACGTGTGAGATTGAATCTGTGCGCTTCAATGACCTCTTTTCTTCAGGAGATGCATCTTCTCTCGGCTTTAGAGAGCCTGAAAATGGGCATTAATCAACACGTCCAGCTCCGTCCGTCCGGCCCATTCAGACCTCACATCACACATCGTAGAGTCTGAAGAGGTTTTCTCTTTGAGACGTGAATGTTAAAAATAGCTTGGTGTTATTTTCTCCCATTTGTTGAACAGCGGTGCCACTTTTCCCTTCGCACCTTTGTGGCACAGCAAAAAGGAAGTTCAGGGCTGTGAAGACTTTCCTTTTAAGCTACATTTCCTTTTAACAGCATTTTAAAATGATTTTTTTTTTCCACGTTTCAGATGAGATCTACGCTCTACGCTCAAGAAAAATGATCAAAAAAGGCATGAGAGGATCTAAAAGTAGCTATAAATTGTAGTGCCCTATGATATAACTTAATACTGTTCTATTATAAATTTATGTTGCGTGGGTGTTGAGATCCCGATCTTTTAATGGTTATTTGTGCAGCTTACACTGAATGCATTAATGCAGGCTAAATACTTTAATGTATGTTAAAAATTAAAGCGTTAATTCACTTAAAAAGGAAAATACTGTTATTAATCAACAATCAAATGAATGATATTGACTTGTTGGAGTAACAATATATAGCATTTAAAGAGCCCATATTATGGGTTTTTGAAAATGCCCCTCCATGTAGTGTGTAACACAGCTCCAAGTGAAGTGAAGTATCCAGCTAAGGCTTAAATCTGTAAGTGTACAGTGTTTAAACCTGTTGATTCATTTATAAAAGAGTCGTCTCATAGTGCTTCAAACGAGTCGCCTTGATACAGAGTCATTAGGTGTTTCGCCATGACGTACGAACGAAACCAAGTTATTCACGTGCACGCGCAAACCCAGGAGATTTGAAACCTGCAGCCCCGCCCTCTGACACAGATACCCACACACACACACACACACACACACACACACACACACACACACAAACATGCCGGTCGATTGAAGTCACACTGCAGATGGATATTATTGAGTCTCTACCCAAAGGTGAAACCTCAGCATAAGCCCAGCTTTAAGCAGTTGGAAACTACTGGAAACTTCTGGAAACTACATGCTACAAAGAATACTTCGTTTGTTAAAGGAAGGATCAGTAAAGACATGTCAGGGCATGCATCGGTTTCTTCCTCCATTTCTCAAGTGTAAGTACGTGCGATTAAACTTGTTTCCTCGTTTACTCTAGCTTGCAAAAATGTATTTAGTTGTGATTTGTTTCCTGTTAGCCGTGTGTACTGTCTCAGGTTAACTCGCTATATTCTCATATCGCGTGCAAAGCCACAATAAAAACGTCACGCGTGCTGCTTTGTTTACGTTCCTGTGGAGGAGTGTAATGTGTGTGTGTGCGTTTGTGTGCATGCGTGCCTGCGTTGCCGTCCTGAGGAGAACGAGAACGAGGGCAATATATGTTTGTGTGTGCGTGCGTGTGTGTGTGTGTGTGTAGACGCGTGTGCGAGGACGAGGGCAAAATGTGTGTGTGTCTGTGAAAAGAGCAGAATGTGACAAGCTAGGAGATCTCCTCGCCAGTTCTTGGGAGATTTGCTCAATAAAATAGTTAGTCGTCTGTAATTACATTCATCCACTTTCGGCTAAACTCCACGCCTTACACTATCGAGCGTGTATACACTCTGACTACGTCTATATTGTTGATTAGCTGCTGGCTATTCGCTCTGTCTCTGGCTGAAAGCAGTTAGTGTCAACCATTCGCAGCAGACTGTCATCGGTCCAATCAGCGCAGATTAGCTTCGCGCTAAGGAGGGGTTTGGGAACAAATTAATCACTGGACGATTCATACAGGAGTCGTTGGGATAATTAGGTAAAAATAAATGCAGGTTGTAAGACCATGAAAGTGTTTTTTGACCTTGCATGCATATTAGACTGTTGTTGGAGACCCTTATAACCAAAATATGACCCTATTTCATGAATAATATGGACTCTTTAAAGAGTGTTTTGGACACCTTTTCTATTGTTATAGTGCCACCTTTAGGTATTTTTTTTGCTAATTAGCAACCACTAATAGTATTTCAGTGAAATAAACCTGCTATTGTATGTCTTGGATATTGTTGCCTCTGACAAATCATATATTCCACTTTAGTATTTTGTGCTAAATGTGTGAATGCATAATTAAATCCAGTCTCTGTCTTTTCCATAGCGAATGTGGCTGCAGCAGCCGGCGGCTTCATCTATTTTCTGAGTTACCTGCCGTACGTCTTCCTGTGGCCTCGCTACGACCTGCTGTCACACGCTCAGAAAGTGTCCGCCTGTCTCATCTCTAACGTGGCCATGGCCATGGGTGCGCAGCTCATCGGCATGTTCGAGGGCAAAGGTACGATTTCCAACTCCATCTGTGCATCAGTCCTTCTTTTCATAGCTTATTAGGAATTCAACGATCAGAAAATTCACTTAGAGGTACAATATTTAAAAAAACAAATGATAGATTTGAACGCTTTACAGTAGGATTGTATTAGTTAATGTTAGTTGATGCATTCAATAACATGACCAAAGAATGAACGATACATTTTTTTGCAGTATTTGTTCATGTAAGATAACCTTAGTTTAAAGACAGTTGTTCATTGTTAGTTCATGTTAACTCATGATGTGTTTACTAATGTTAACAAGCATGACTTTGGATGTTACTAACGCATTAGTAAATGTTGATCTATGATTAATAAATGCTGTGTAAGTATTGTTTTTAATTACTTCATGTTAGTAAATAATACATTAACTAATGAAACCTTAATGTAAAGTGTGACTGTTCTGCATGTTGATCATGTATTGATGTCCTTTGTTGTCCTCAGGCACGGGCATTCAGTGGCACAACCTGTTTGAAGCGGTGACGGTGGATGATGACTTCTCTCTGGCGCAGGTCATAGGTCTGCTGCTGCTAGATGCTCTTTTGTACGGCCTCGTGGCCTGGTATGTCGAAGCCGTGTTTCCAGGAGAGTATGGAGTCCCTCAACCCTGGTACTTCTTTATTCTGGTGCGTTTCGCCTAAATGCATTTCATCTGTAGCCATGTTTATTGTCACTGTACACTTTCTAGAAGAGTCAGTTTTGAGATTTGGGCTTTTTGTTAAGTGCTTTTTTTACTGTAATGGGGGAAAAAAAGCATCCAAAATACACTTAAGTGTTTCTTGTGACACACTTTATCGATGTGTGTCTGTAGATTTCAATTATAATACATATCTTTATAAGTGATTTTCTCAAAATGAAAACTAAATCTTCACTTCAGCCACTCTTACACCAAACTTCATTTAGATTTTGTTCCATTTTATTCTATTCTATACTGTTCTATTCCCTTCTATTCTATACCGTTCCATTCTTTTCTATTCTATTCTTTTAAATTTTATTCTGTTCTATTTTATTTAGTTCTATTCCATTATGTTCTGTTCCGTAACGTTCTATTCTATTCCGCTTCATTCTATTTTATTCTGTTCCGTTTCATTCCATTCTATTCCATTCCATACCATTCCATTTCGTTCTCTTCTGTTCCGTTACATTCTATTCCACTCAGTTCTGTTCTGTTTCATTCCATTTCATTCTGTTCTGTTCTGTTACATTCTATTCCGTTACATTCTGTTCTGTTCCATTTCTTTACATTTTTTTCCATTCCATTTTGTTTCGTTCTTTTCTATTCTATTTTGTATCCTTTCGTTCTGTTCTGTTCTATTACGTTCTATTGTTTCATTCTATTCTGTTTGATTTTATTCCATTCCATTTTGTTCTGTTCCGTTTAATTTCATTTTGTTTTGTTCCGTCCTTTTCTATTTTATTTAGTTTCTTTCCGTTCTGTTCTGTTCTGTTCTGTTCTGTTCTGTTCTGTTCTATTCTATTCTATTTCATTCCATTACATTATGTTCCATTGTATTCCGTTCTATTCTCTTCCGTTCCATTTCATTCTGTTCTGTTCCGTTAAATTCCATTCTGTTATATTAATTATAAATAATCATTATATTATATTATATTATATTATATTATATTATATTATATTATATTATATTATATTATATTTTATTATATTATGTTGTATTCTGTTCCATTCTGTTCCATTCTATTCTATTCCATTACATTCTGTTTCGGTACATTCTTTTCTATTCTGTTCCGTTTTATTCTATTATATTCTGTTTTTTTCTGTTTTGTTCTGTTCTATTCTGTTCTATTTTGTTCGTTATTATTCACATTATTTGTTTTTAGTTACGTTTTTACCAAGCAAAAATGAATTTTGTCTGGTTGTTTGCTTTTTTTTTTATTATAAAATAAAAAAACATTTTATTTTATTTTATTAGCTTTTTTAAGTTTAATACATTTTATTTTATTTAGTTTTAAATTCTTCAGTTTTGTTTTTAGGACAATCTAAAAATGGATTTTTTATAAAGAATCGTCTGTCTCTTCGGCTCTGTTCCTGCATGCTTACAAATCAGAAGTGCTTGGTGATTTACAACATTATGCTGTTTATTTTAAGTACATTGATTATTTCCTCAATCCTCACATTTCCTCGTGCGCATCACATGGTTTAGCATTCTTGTGAAACTGTGGTCGAAATAGGCTTGTCTCACAGTTTAACCACAGAACATCTATAAAGCATTAGTGTTACTGACCAACGGGCCCTTGAAAGACCAGAAAACTTTGCTTATGTCATCAAGTTGGCCAGGAAATGCAAACACAATCTTATCTGTAGACATTCAGGGTGTGAAGAGGAGTTTGCGCAGAGCTATTGTAAATGTGGGACACGCTCTACATCAACGCATGTGTTTGCAGACAAGCTTATCAATGGGTGGCAATAAAGACGCCGGTGGAGTGAAAGTAGTGTTACATTATAGAGTTCTGGCTCAAACCTTTGGCTAAGTGGATGTCTGGCATGTTTACACACAAATCCATGTGTGTAATGTAATTATGTTGGATGGTAACAAGTAAATATACTGATATTCCATTTCAGCTCAAGCACAAATTCTATAAAGCAGGGATCACCAAACTGCAGATTTTAGCTCCAACCCTAATCAAACACACCTGAACAAACTAATCAAGGTATTACTAGGTATACTTGAAACACCCAGGCAGGTGTGTTAAAGCAAGTTGAAGCTAAACCCTGCCGGGCACCCGACCTCCAGCAATGAGATTGGTGACCCCTGCTATGAAGGGATCTCACCATGTCTGGAGTATTGTAGAGTTTAAAATTGCTCCAGTTTTAGTTTCCACTTTTCTATATTTTTTAAATACAAAACATCACAGTAGATGTAATGCAGAAAGAAATTACCTTACATCAAGTTACACTCAGAAAGAGCATAAAAACAACAGAAAACACTAATTGAAACCTAATAATAAATAAGCTTTGTAATTCCAGGCATTGCAAAAAACATTGAAGGTTTATTTTTTTGACCAAGCCTTGGAAAATCAAGCATTTTTTCTGTTATAAAGTTTTTGTTTTCTTTTATCAAAATGTGATTTTTCTGTTAAATTTTTTTTTATATTGTAGTTTTTTTTGGCTAACAGGCTAATTTTCAGCTCGGTTTTTTGTTTTTTTGTTTCTGCTCTCGTGCGTACTCGATACAGAAGTATACATTGGCATATATTCATTCATTAAACTTGAGCCCTGTGGGCCAAATTTGGCCCGCTATATAGTTTTATTTGGCCCGTGAGTGCCGTGAGTCGCACCAAATGCGAATTTAGGTATTTTTCACAGTAGACTACATGCAAACTGAGTGATGAGAATGACACAAAATGTATGATTCATTTGGCCTCTAATAATTTCAAATTTTAGCCATTAATACAATGAATGTAGTCTTGTTCTTGAATGTTAGCGCCGATTATATCACATAACGCATCTAAAGCTGGTCACACACCTAAAGAGAAGGGCAGGTATTACACATTGGATGAGCACTTTTGATATGTGAATATAATGTTATTTAATATGGGGGATAATTTTTTTAAATGGAAGTGTCATTTGCATTAAATTCAGCATGGCAGTATCATCAAATGTTAGATCAGGGGTGTCCAAAGTCAGTCCTGGAGTGCTGGTGTCCTGCAGATTTTAGCATAAACGTGCCTCGACACACCTGCAATGATGTTTCTAGAAAGCCTAGTAAGAGCTTGATTAGCTAGCCCAGGTGTATCTGATTGGAGTTGGAACTGAACTCTGCAGGACACCAGCCCTCCAGGGGCGAGTTTGGGCACCCCTGGTCTAGATGGACCGCTCATCACAACACCTGCCTGATTTTTCTGTTCATTATAGATCATGGAGATTCAAGTTATTTGTCACTTTTTACATTTTGGTGAATACAGGGATAAGTCAAGGAATTTGACATTTGGCTAAGAGTGGGAACTCTGGCCTGATTCGTATGATAAAGTCATTAGGTAACACTTTACTATTGATAGTTGTCACGTGACGTCACACTATTAGGGGAACACCCCCATGGCTGACTAATCTAAGTCACTGGCTGAGCAATATCTCATGTTTTAGCCAAAAAGCTAGATAATTGATGTGCAATAAGATAAAGCCTTACTAACCAATGAGGAGACACGTCAGGGCTGTGCTTCCGCAGAATTCTCTAATAGAAGAAAACAACCAGAAAGGAGAAATTGGGTGGGTTTGTGCTGAATGGTAGTACCCATAACAATCCCTTAGTACAAAGAATGTCAATACCTTTGTATGCTTTTTTTATTCTGTTTCTATTTTCATTTGCAGGTTAAGTGAAATCAAACTATTAACTGAAATGCAAAGCCACTGAAAAAATCAGCAGAACTGAACTAATAGATTTTTGATAGCCAGCAAATATTGATCTAAGCAAAGCAAACAGATCCCAAATATAAAAGCAGACACTTACAAGCTATAACGCCATCACCTTTGATTAAATCTCTGAGGAATATCCACAAGATAAAGGTACACATAGCTGAAAGAGATCTCTGACATGGACATGATGGTTTTAAATGAGTCAAAAATGGCTATGGGTGTGTGATTTATGGATGACAAGTGCCCACAATTTGAAGCGATCATATCTCTTCATATAATGTTTCGTTCGGTATAAGTTTGTAGTTTAAAAAAGATTGAAATATGAGAGGATTGTGCTGCATTTCTGTCATGATCCCAGTGTAACTGCCATTAGAGCCCATAGTTTTTTTTATTTTGACCAGCAGGTCTTCACGCAGGTAACATAACTATATATTTATATAGCAATTTATAGTTAATGCATTAAAATCAACAGTGAGAAATAGCCGTATTATTTGTAACAGTTTTAATAATAAATCATTTATTCATTCAGTATTTTGATGTGCCAATGATTTCAATATTGTGCAAGTTCATTATCATGATATATTGAATTATTGAATATCGCCATATGTACATCTACTCAAAAATAAGCACAGAGTCTTGTGTTATACCAAAGAGCTTAGAATGGCCAAGAGGCGACACTCAATAGAACGTGCCATTGCAACAGCAGCGCCCAGGAAGTTCAGGAACAGCCCTAGATTCCGCCATTTTGGAGTGAAAGTGATCGGCTGTCCATTGGATCTTAATTGCTGTCGTGATGGCAAGCAGCTGCTTTGTTTTTTTATTAATTTTTCCAAAAGCGCATTAAAGATGAGATACAACCTGAACGACGACAATACAGCACTTACTATCACAATCAGCAGCACTTTCAATAGTTTATTTTACAGACTTAGAATATGCTGTTGTTCTATTGGAGTTTTCATTCAAAAATGGCCGCCACACCATCTAGTGGCTGTTTCCCAAATCGTACTAGAGTGTCGCCTCTTGGTGATTCTATGCTCTTTGGTTATACAGTCGTAAATGTCGTATGCTAAATTCCACATATCTGTTTTCAGCCCTCGTACTGGTGCAGCAGTCCCCGTGTGGCCTTTCTGAAGGAAAAGGAGGATGAAGAGGATGCAGAGAAAGCCTCAAAGGGTGAATTTATGGAAGAGGAGCCAGCTGGACTAGTCGCGGGGGTCAAGATCAAGCGTTTGGCAAAGGTAGAAGATGCACTGTGTGTTTTGCGTAAACGTTGTGAAGTGAATAGAAGACAGATGGTGGACTCTGTGTGTGTTCAAGGTCAATGTGACACGCATAGCTTGCCTCTGAAACTGTTGGAGGAGGGAAAAACGTGTGGATTTTTACTGTTGCAGGTGTTCAAAGTGGGAAATAAGAGCAAGGAGGCGGTGAGGGATTTAACGCTCAACATGTTTGAAGGGCAGATCACTGTCCTGCTTGGGCACAATGGAGCCGGCAAGACCACCACACTGTCAATGCTGACCGGTAAGAGGTGATCTCAATGCATTAGGAAATGTGATTTGCAATATTAGTCGGTTTGTTTTGATTCATTAATTTTCCTTCGGCTTAGTCCACTATTTATCAGGGGTCGCCACAGCAGAATGAACCACCAACTATTCTGGCATACGCTTTTATGCAATGGATGCCCTTCCAGCTGCAACTCAGTACTGGGAAACACCCATACACTTTCACATTCTCGCACACACGCTCATACACTACGGGCAATTTAGTTCATCCAATTCACCAATGTCTTTGGACTGTGGGGGAAACCAGAGTTTCATTTCAATTGCTCGTTTTTATTAACTGGTTATTATTAATATTGTTATTGGTTAGTCCTGCAAAATGTTCCGTAATGGAATAATTATCTAGTTAAAAAAGAAAAAACGAAATATCACATGGTCCTAGGCAGTGTGGGTAACGGTGGATAACGCATTACAATTAATGTGAGTTACATAATAATATTACTTTTCTAAGTAACGAGTAAAATAATGCATTACTTGTCACGGTTTCAGGAAGTATGAGGGAAAAAGGGGCGAGGACAGATAATGAAGGATTTATTATAGAATACAAATAAAACAAAAAGGCAAAATAAACTACCCCCGAGGGGGAAAACATGAATAAAAAGGCAAAAGCAAACTTGACTGGACTGGCAGGACAAAGCAGGGCTGGACACAACAGGACAGGGAACTATCGACGAAGAACTGGCACAGGACAGAAAACATGAGGGGATTATAAAGCAGAAGTAAACTGACACAAACAGGTGAACATGCCAAACTAATAATGAGTGAACAAGGAGGGTGGGACTAGACAATAGACACAGAGAGACAACACAAGCCATGCGCTCACATAAAACGAGACTAGAACATGCAGCCAATGAGAGAACTCATTAACCGCATGTTCATGACAACACAAGCACAACACTAAAGCTCACAACAAAAGCACGTGACCACAATGTAAACAACGAGCCACGTGCTTTGACAAGAGACGCAAGACACGAGCACACATTAGATAAACACCTTACCGTGCGCTCACACATATGCAAAGCGCATGCTTCATCTCAGCGCCAACCAAAACTGAAACCGACTAGACGGAGGCCCAAAAATGAAGCAGCTCGATGCTGACAAAACAAACACGAACACTAGTACAAAAGCGCGCGCGGCCGCATCAAGCGGGAGCACGCACACTCTGCGCACACCCACGACGGTGTGCGCGCACACAGTGAGACAAAGACAGAAACAGGACAAGACAGCTAGTGCCCGGGCTCTGCCACCAAAACAAGAATTTACAAGACCAGAGTGGCAGAACCCTGACATTACTTTTAAAAATGAAGTAATAATATTTGAGTTACTTTTTAGTTTAGTTCATGAACTTTTAAAAAAAATATATATTGCTGAACTAAAATTAATGCCGTCATGTTGAATCCCGCAGTCAATGAGAAAATACAGGAACAAAAAATGAAGACGGCAGAGCCTTACATTTCTGCGATAGAAATATTCTCTTTATTTCCTTAAAGAGGAAATACAGCAACATTACACATCAACTAATGTTTAAAATAGGATATCTTAGTGGACCAGCCCTTTAAACATTCATTAATCTGTACTTAAGACATTTGTAGTTCTGGGGTCAGGAAATTCTCAGAAGGTGACATTATCCTACATTAATTTAATTTATTATCATTCATTTTTTATTTATTATTTATTTATTATTTGTTATTAATTGCAGAACTCAACCCTATTAAAAAAATAAGAAAAACGCCCCTCCCCCTCACCCCCCTGCAAGTTCTGAAAAAGTTACGCAAAAGTAACTCATGTAACACAACGCATTACCTACCATAAAAAATAACTAAGTAATGCAACTTGTTACTTTTTTGGGTAGTTACCTAATATTATAATGCACTACTTTCTAAAATAATGTAAGGGTCCATCTATTAGTCCTATGACAGAACAAACAGCATGGGTGAAGGTTAAATGCGTGTAAGGCTTCTCTCGTGCAGCTGTAAACAGATTACTAAAAATTCATGGATCCAATTTTGACCCTTTTTACTCCAATTTATAATAGTTTAAATTTAGATCCATCCAATTCAAGCTAATCACCTTATAGGTTGTTATTTGGTCTAATTTAGATCTATCAACCTAATAAATCCTTATTTTCACTTAATCATTCATTGTTTACCCAAACTCGCTTAGAGTCTGTATGCTGGTTGGTTACATGTGCTCACAAACACATCCTGGCCAGTTCTGGTTTTTAGATAGAGGATATAACTGTAAACTAATTTTCTTTAAAGTAATATTATCCCGCCCCATGCTTGTTCATACATAAAGAAAAATTTATTTAGCCACTAGATACTAGCCATTTTTAGCCAGATTTAGCCACTTCATACTAAGTCAGTGATTGTCAGAAATCAATAGATGCCTATGCTCCAGCCATTATGCCTGAGTGTATGATCAATCCTGGTCGTAGGCTGCTAAACATCAGCCTGAACAATCTACTAGTTACAAATATTTCAGGAGATATTAGTTAAACAAGAATTTCACGTTTATTTGTCAGGCAAAGATTTTCCATTCCAATTCACACAATTAAACAAAATAAGCCAGTTCAGATTTTACAACACCAATTACTCAAAGATACATCTAAGAGTTAGAGATTATTAGCTGACCATATAGAAATGCATTGCAACTTATAAGTCCTGATGCAGGAAAATAGAACTGGGATTGGGCCTTAGCCATTCTTATGCTGTGTTCACATCAGACGCGAAAGACATTTACATGTTAAGTCAATGCAAAAGGCGCGAATAGACATCCTGCGGCACGATACACGCGAATGGTGTGGCATGAATGATGCGAATTGCGCGAATGGCGCGGTGCGAATGGCTTGGCACGAATTAAGAGTTTTGCGCAAATCGCTCAAGTTCGAGCAACTTCAGCAGACATTTGCGCAGCGTTAACCAATCAATGTTGTTGGTGTCCCGGGGGAAATCCTCCAGCCGACACCGACAACAGTGCCTCAAACTGGGCTCGGCTCAGTCAGAAGCACTACTGAAAGCTTCCATCATCCAGGTTAGGTTTCTGGAAGAGTTTATGAGTTCACACAGCTGCGTTCCATGTCTGGTATGAACACAGCATTACAGTAACTTTCCACAACACTGGTCCTAAGTATTCAGACCCTTTGCTCTGTAGTTAGTAGAAGAACCCTTTTGATCTAATACAGCCATAAGTCTTATTGGGAAAGATGCAACTAATTTTTCACACCTGGATTTGGGGATTGGCTTCCCAATTTTTGACCCATTCCTCCCACTGTAACTTGTATAAAAGAACTTGAGAAAAGTCTTCGGATTCACACAACTAGCTGATACCGTCTCCTTTCACGCATTGACTGTTGTTGAGTCAAGCTAAATGTTCTCTTTTGTAACCTAGCGACTGCAGTATTGATCCTATTCATACCTGTAAACGGTGATGATAGCAGAGGTCAGTCAGAGTTTATCGCTTCTTTCACCATTTAATTTCTCTCTTTCTCCTTTGTTAGGTCTTTTCCCGCCCTCCAGCGGTCGTGCCTACATCAATGGATATGATATTTGTCAGGATATGGCTCTGATCCGCCGCAGTCTCGGTTTGTGTCCGCAGCATGACGTGCTCTTCGATAACCTCACCGTCAGAGAACACCTGCTCTTCTACACACAGGTGAAGGCAAATCACTCTGAACTCTGTGACACAAATAACAGTTATAAACACAAATGTTTCTGTCTTTTACCAAGGTTATTTAAGTAAGCGGAAATGTAAACTAGAACTAAAACTATTGGTCAAAAGAAATTTTTTTTTTGATTAAATCAAATAAATAATTCACAATAAGTGAAGTTTTTTTCTCCCCCAATTCCTTATTATTATATTTTAACATGTACATACATATTTCCATGTGTCAGATTTAACATAAACCAACCAACAAACAAATGAACAAACAAAACAAAGGGCTTCTCAGTATTTTCTCTTTCTCAGTATTTTTATCTTCTCAGGTCTGTTCTTTGTACGTGGATTATTCAGTTTGCTGGATTTAGTTATTGACAATTTCACATGACAATTTCACATGATCCAGGATCTTTGTTGTCATAGCTACAGTTTTGGTAGCTCAAACCTGTTTGGGAGCAGGCTCATTTCACATAAACAGGATTAGATCAGCTCATTTTAAGCAATGGGAATGCTGAAAATATGTACCAAATGCTGATATTTTCTTACAGTAGTAACCTATTCACCTTATTCTTCGCAGACAAACAGGCGCAGCCATTTGAATCTTTTTGGCTCGAGACTTCCGGTCTCATTCACTTCCATTCATTTTTAGACAATAAAAACTGCTCGTTTCGCTGTTTGATGTTGCAAACTGATATTTCCTTATTATATTATTCTACTTGGTCTGTATAGTTATGCAAACATTTGTAGAGCAAGTAGCTTGACCATTTTTTGCCATTTATTATTCCTAGTCATTTCTCCTTTAGGCGACTGAATCGGAAGTTCTAAAACAATCGCGAAAACAGGCGCACTTCCCCATTTTAGAATAAGGTCAATAGTAACCTATATATATATATATATATATATATACAGAGACAGAGACAGAGAGAGAGAGAGACAGAGACATTCACCCAGAATGCATCTTTGCACCTGAAACGCCAATCCAATGACTGTAAAAACAGTAGCAAAGCACCTGAAATATCATGAACGACTGGTCATGAAAGTTTGATGCTACACCCAAACAAAATCTGACTGTAAGCTCATTTCTTGAGATATTAACTTAAGGTAGAAAGAGACCAAACTTCAGTAAACTTAAAGTAAAAACATACTTCACAAATAACTAAACTTTTTTTTTTTTTTTTTTTTTTTTGGGTGAATTATCCCAATAAATATATGCTCTAAAGTGCTCAACAATTTAAGTTGAAATGTCATATTGTGTTTTAAAATAGCACAATGGATTTAAATGTGAAAAAGAACATACATATACAATACATACATATATAAACATAATTAACCGTGGTTATTAGGAGCATACAAATGCACCTTGAAAGTGCTTGAAAAGTGCTGGAATTTATAGTTGAAAAAGGTGTAAGAACCCTGAAACTCAAAATGTTCACACTTCTTGGTATGTGCCAACAGCATGATTTATTAGCGCAAACCACATCTGGTGTGAACACCCCATGTTTCAGAAACTATAAGTAGCACACCAAATCAATGAAATAACAGCATTTTATTAAATTGATTTAATAAAAGAAACATAACCCTACAAAGCACATAGCAAATAACACAAATTGCAGTATACGTTTTTGTATACATTTTAATGTTGAGAAGTCATCGGGACGTTCTGTCATATCATGATGCTTCATGGCAATGTTTGGGAGCTAAAGAGTTTTCTTGTAACAGCTTCTTTCTTGTCTTCAGCTGAAGGGTTACCCTCGCGAGAAGATCCCTGGAGAGGTGGACCGGATCATCCGCATCCTCAACCTTGAAGACAAGCGTAACGCCAAATGCAAGACTCTTTCTGGTGGCATGAAGAGAAAGCTTTCCATCGGCATTGCTTTAATTGGAGACTCAAAGGTCAATCAGCACACACTTCGTTTAAATTTGCGGTTAAAGATGCAATAGGAAAATGCTAATGTTAGCCTGACTGCACTGAAAGCTTAAATCCCACCCTGCAAACCGCAAACACACACTAGATAACATCACATAATCTGAGAGAAAACTTTATAGTGCAGTTAGTAATCGTTAGTAATCACAGTATCACACTTAAAGAAGTAGTTATGCTGAAGGTATGTTAACGCAGGCGATGTGCTTTCGTTTGTTTCCTGCTGTAGGTGGTGATGTTGGACGAGCCCACCTCAGGAATGGACCCCTCAGCCCGTCGGGCCACCTGGGACCTGCTGCAGGGCGAGAAACGTGGCCGCACCATCCTGCTTACCACACACTTCATGGACGAGGCCGACCTGCTGGGAGATCGCATCGCCATCATGGCCAGCGGAGAGCTCCAGTGCTGCGGCTCGCCACTCTTCCTCAAGAACAAATATGGTACATCACGGCGAGTTTATTCATGTAGCACATTTCGTACACAATGGTAATTCAAAGCGTTTAAATTGATTAAAAACAGACTAAAGTGTGTTTTAAAGGAACGAAAACGAAAAGAAAGCCATAATAGTGTGATCTGTGAGACGTAGCATTCAGTGAAGGCACAGCTAAACTCATTCACAGTGCTAACCACTGAGCCACCCTGATTTATTCTTCGTTATGAGAATGCATCTAAGGCAAGGCAAGGCAAGGCAAGTTTATTTATATAGCACATTTCATACACAATGGCAATTCAAAGTGCTTTACATAAACAATAATAAAAGAAACAAGTAAAATAAAAATAAAAACAAATAATAAAAATGCGTAAAAACAAAACAAAACATAAAAACAGGTAAAATGTGATATGAAAGAATGAAGAAGAAGAGAAAAACATGATAGTGGATTCTGTCGGACGCAGCACTGTGGTCATTCAGTAAAGGCACAGCTAAACAGATGTGTTTTCAGTCTTGATTTGAATGTGCCTAATGTTGGAGCACATCTGATCATGCTGATTCCAGCAGCGAGGGGCATAGTGGCTAAAAGCCGATTCACCCTGCTTTGACTGAACTCTTGGAACTTCTAGTTTATATGATCCTAATGATCTGAGTGATCTGTTAGGTTTGTATTCAGTGAGCATATCTGTGATGTATTTAGGTCCTAGGCCATTTAGTGATTTATAGACCAGGAATAATACTTTAAAATCTATTCTGAATGTAACTGGCAGCCAGTGTAAAGACCTGAGGACAGGTGTGATGTGCTCTGATTTTCTGGTTCTGGTTAGAATTCTGGCTGCAGCGTTCTGGATGAGCTGCAACTGTCTGACTGTCTTTTTAGGAAGACCAGTGAGGAGTCCATTACAGTAATCCACCCTGCTGCTGATAAAAGCATGAACAAGTTTTTCTAAATCTTCACTAGAAACAAAGCATCTGATTCTTGCTATGTTTTTGAGATGATAGTATGCTGATTTACTGACTGCTTTGACATGACTGTTGAAACTCAGATCTGACTCAAGAGTCACACCAAGATTCTTGACATTTTTTGTCGTTTGACCTTTAGTGCCAAGGTACGCATTCACCTTGAGAACCTCATCTCTGTTTCCAAACACAATCATTTCAGTTTTCTCTTTGTTTAACTGAAGAAAGTTTTGACACATCCAATTGCTCATTTCATCAATGCATTGGCAGAGGGTGTCAATGGGGCTGTAGTCATTAGGCAGTAAGGCTAGGTAGATCTGAGTGTCATCAGCATAGCTGTGGTAGGAGATTTGGTTCTTTCTCATTTTTTGGCTCAGAGGGAGCATGTAAAGGTTGAACAGGAGAGGTGCCAGAATAGAGCCTTGTGGGACTCCACATGTCATGGGTGTCCACCTCGACCTATGGTCACCTATACTGACATGGTAACCTCTACCTTCAAGGTAAGATCTAAACCATTTGAGGACTGTCCCAGACAGCCCAACCCAGTTTTCCAGCCTATCCAGAAGTATGCTGTGATCGACAGTGTCAAATGCAGCACTGAGATCCAACAATACCAGCACTGTTATTTTACCTGAATCTGTATTTAGGCGTATATCATTGATTATCTTTATAAGAGCGCTCTCTGTACTGTGATGTGATCTGAAACCAGATTGAAAATTGTCTAAACACCCCCTGAAGTTTAAGAACTTGTTAACCTGGTTAAATACAACTTTTTCAATGATTTTGCCAATGAAAGGGAGATTTGAGATTGGCCTGTAATTGCTCAATAGGGTGTTATCCAGGTTGCTCTTCTTTAAATGTGCTCTTCTTCATCTACATGCCTAAATGCATTTAGTTGCTGCCATGTGATTGGCTGATCAGATATTTGTGTTAATTCGCTGTTGAACAGGTGTACTCAACAATAAAATAGGGCTCCAATAAGGACTCAGCAAGCAAAAGAACATGTATCTGAATATCTCCTCTTGTGCTCCTGACAGGTGCTGGTTATCATATGGTTATTGTGAAGGATGCGTTTTGTAACGTGTCGGAGATCACCCGTCTGGTCCACATGTACGTGCCTGACGCCACATTAGAGAGCAGTGCAGGCGCTGAACTCTCATACATACTGCCCAAAGAGAGCACCAGCCGGTAAGACAACACACACACACACAATAACAATAACAACAAACACACCAGTCTCCCTGCACAACATATTATATACAGTTGAAGTTATTTGCCATCCTGTGAATTCATTCATTCATTTTCTTGTTGGCTTAGTCCCTTTATTAATCCGGGGTCGCCACAGCGGAATGAACTGCCAACTTATCCAGCAAGTTTTTACGCAGCTGATGCTACCGCAACCCATCTCTGGGAAACATCCACACACACATAAACAAACTCCTACACTACAGACAATTTAGCCTACCCAATCCACCTGTACCGCATGTCTTTGGACTGTGGGGGAAACCGGAGCACCCGGAGGAAACCCACGCGAAGGCAGGGAGAACATACAGAAACGCCAACTGAGCCGAGGTTCGAACCAGCGACCCAGCGACCTTCTTGCTGTGAGGCGACAGCACTACCTAATGGGCCACTGCCTCGCCCCATCCTGTGAATTTTGTTTACTTATTCAAATATTTCTGAAATGACGTTTAACAGAGCAAGGAAATTTTCACAGTATTTCCTATAATATTTTTTCTTCTGGAGAAAGTCTTATTTGTTTAATTTCGGCTAGAATAAAAGCAGTTTTAATAAAAAAAACATTTAAAGGATAAAATGATTAGCCCCCTTAAGCAATATTTGTTTTGGATAGTCTACAGAACAAACCATCTTTATTGTAACGATCACCAGCGATCTAACAACCAGAGATCGCTGGTAAACACTCACATTCACAAATCCGCCATGTTATGGACTACATATTCAGTCATTCAACACACACACACACACACCTGCTCCAAGTGACCAGTGATTGCAAACACTCACACAGCTGAAGCTGCTCACAGACTGATTACTTGGACTATATGAACAGCACAAACACACACAGTAGCCTCTTTCACACAGTGATACCGGTAAATATCCGAAAAACGACTTTACCGGTAAATTTTAAAAGGCGCTGTTCACACAGGCGAGGACGTTAAGAAATTTTTCCGGAGAAGACCGTTCACACTTCTATTCCAAAATAAAAATAGTATTCCAGTAAATTCTGACATCATTAGGCAGAGATGACCTTTAAACAGCTGGGCTTGTCTTTGTAAACATTTTACTACGCTACAAACTCTGTGGATGGATGAGTATTGTGAACAACTTTGATGAAAACATATGGAGGAACACTTTCGCATGTCGAGGTTTACATGATAAGTGTGTGTGCTCACTGGCTCCTTCACGGGCACACGCAACGCGTAAAGGCTGATTTATACTTCTGCATCAAATGCACACGTATGCTACGGCGCTGACGCATAGCCCTTTGAGGCCGTTGGCGTCGCTGACGTGCACCTCTCAAAAAATGTAACTACACGTCGCAACGACGCGTAGCGCAAGCTGTGTGATTGGTCGGCTTGGTAGCGCTGACGTGTCTGGGCGGGACCGAGAGCGGCGTGAATGGCGCGAGCCTGATGGAGCGATTGTTTACAAGTGTGGAGTCCCGTGAAGGAGCTCCGGATGGAAAGTTTTGTTCTGTGTTTACCTCATAGTTAAAGTTGTTGCACGTCCGCCGGTTCCTGCCTCAAAATGAGCGAGTTTGAGCCACTTGTACATTCCGGAAGTGTTCAGGAAAAGCAAAACAGCAGCGAAGAAACTCGACACAGAGGAACATTTACACCTCACTGACAACTAGCGTTTCGGAAGTGTTAATGCAGACCAACAGAGACAGCGCGCAGAAGTATAAATGCACAGCTACGCACGTTGCATGCGCCAATGGTTACGCCGGTCACTTGACTCAGAAGTATAAACCAGGCTTAAAGCAACTAAAGGAAGCAGAGCTTGAAGTTAAACAAACAATGGCTTATCATAAGCATCTTATCGATAATTATTTACACAGTTGGCATTAGGAAGGAACAAATAAACATTATCTGACTAACATCTAGCAGCTAAATGTGTTTGGAAAATTTTTTTAAAGGGTTTTATTTTCATAAACTACGTGAATGTGAATGCGTCTGAGTGTTCTGATTGGCTAAAGTAGATGTCTCACGTCAGCACGTTCTAGACGTGCACGCGCTCTTTCCGGCACTCTTCCTTCAGCGTTCACACAGCGCAGCATTCCGGCAAATAACCAGTAATGTTACAACTTCTATTTCCGGAAAATAACCAAAACAAATTTACCGGTATTTTCAAAAAGGGCTTGTTCACACATACACACCTTTCCGGAAAATAGTCGGTAATTTCTTGTCGGTAAAATTACTGTTTTGTGACCTGTAACAAACACCAGTGATCTTGGGACTAGATGTCTACCGAATTACAGTGGCTAATTTCCTCTTATCACCAGGGCTATTTAATTCAGTTTGTGTGCCCCTCTCATTGTCTGTTGTTTTTGTGTTGCTCCTATGTGTTGCGATGTCCGTGTGTTCCTGGTTTGTTTTGCCCTGTCTTAGTTTTGCCTTGTTTTTTCATTGTGGGCCCTATCATACACCCGGCGCAGTGTGGCGCAAGGCGTGGCGCAATAGTCTTTTGGTAGTTTCAGCTTGGCGCAAGAGTCGTTTTGAGGCGTTGCGCTACACTGTTTAAATAGCAAATGCATTAGCGCTCATTTGTGCGCCCATAGTCGTTCTGGTCTAAAAAGGAAGGCGTTCTGAGGCGGACCGCTGGCGCGTTGCTATTTTGAGAAACTATAATAGATTTTTTATTAGACCAAAACTAACCCGGTCTAAACTCCGGCGCAGAGTTGCGCCTCGCTTACACACTGCTTAATACGCACAAGAGAGCAATAGGCAAATATCTTTACATATGAAAAAAATGTAAATATTAAGGATATGTATAGGATATAATAAGAATAGATATAGGATATAAATATAAAGGATTAAAATATTACAAAACATATTATTTTCTAGCCTACATAAATATGAAAAATCACTGCTTTTATGTCTCTTCATCTCGGGAGGCTTTTTCACTTCATTCATAACAATTCGCTTTTGTATAATGTTATTATTATTAGCAGTATTATTTATTATATCCATATTTATATTTGTTTTATTAAAAACAAGCTTAGATTTGCCCACCTGTCAGGTTTTAGACAATATGGGGCACAGCATGTGTTTTAGGATAAAACTCAGGTTTTTGAGCACATTTTGTTATTATTGTTCATTTATTCGTTTGCTGGAAATTAGAACTGAATTTAGAAATAGTTTTGAAACGAATATTTGCGCTTAACAAACAAAATTAATTATTTATAGACTAATTGATGTCTGTGCGTAAAGGTTTCCCTATCCAAGAGCGAAAGTGAAAGTGATCCATTATCTCTCATTCTCATGCAGTAGATGCTCTGTTTAACTGTTTTCTGTTAAAAAAACTGTTAACTGTTTGCTTGTGAAATGCTCAGTTTTTCCACTTCCACTTACTTTACGTCCTGTAAATGGCAAATGCGCTCTTGGCGCGACACAGCTGACTCTTAAAGGGAATGGGAGATGAGACTCTAATTGGTTTATTCTCAAAACACACCTATAACTCATTAAGAAAATAAACTCAACCCTTTTAGACTATCCACCACGGCGCAAGGCAGATTTCCCGTCCTTAAATTAGCAAAAACGCGTTCTGACACGCCCTGAAAGCGTTTGCGCCCTGCGTTTTACGCTCTGCGCATGGACCGTCAAAATAGAGCCCTAAATGTTTAAATGCAGCGTTTGGACCCGCTCTGTTTTTTCCTCCTCTGAACTTTACACCGGATGGTAACACTTATACAATTACCCCAACTTTACCCTAATTAACCTAGTTAAGCCTTTAAATGTCCCTTTAAGCTGTGTGGAAGTGTCTTGAAAAATATCTAGTCAAATATTATTTACTGTCATCATGGCAAAGATAAAATAAATCAGTTATTAGAAATGAGTTATTAAAACTATTATGTTTAGAAATGGGTTGAAAAAATCGTTTCTGTTAAACAGAATTTGGGGAAAAATATTCAGGAGTGCTAATAATTCTGACTTCAACTGTGTATATGTATCAATAAGTCAGCCAAAAATATTACTGACTTACAGTACAAAGCATTAAGGTTCATCCCCATCATCATCATTGCTTTTTAATCAATAATCTCAATTGCTTAAATATTTCTAAGCTCACTGAGACCCTTGAGTTATAAAGAAGCGGTTTAATGTCTTCATACAAATGAATCGTCTGAGTATTGAATCTTGGTTCTTGTGTCTGATTCTTGAGATCTCCCGTAGCAACAGAAGGACTAAATTTACACATCGATCCATTTCTCGGTGAAGGCTTCAAAACAAAGTTCTTGTGCAACAACCTTCAGTCTGAGAGAAACATCTTGAAAGCACATTGTATAAGGAGTGGTTTACCTAACAAGTACATGTTATTTTGAGAAAGGAAAAACAAGTTGAGAGAGATTTTGCAAGGTTGTTTGCTTTTAAAGTCCACGTGAAATCGAAATTTACACCATTTTGGTGACTGTCGCTTTAAAATGAAATGAGATTGTGCTCTTTTCAAAAGAGGGAGGAGCTATAAATGCCTGGGTGTCAGCATAGTGGCAGATTCAAAAACAAGACTAACGTATTATTCTAATGAGGAAGAGATCGTCACTTGTGAGCAGGGCTTTCCCCCTCTGATGACAAGTACAAAGGGAGTGTTTCTGCAGGCCGTTTTAATCCAGTGTTATTATAAATAATTAAATTAATATGTTTTTACCATTAGAAGATGCTTATATTCACACACTGCTGCAACACAACTGTGTTTAAACCTCTTATAAAGTGATTTTTGTGTAATAGATGCAATTTAAGAGCTATAAACTATTTTAAGAGAACTCTTTGTGGTATGTAACATGTTTTGTTGTGTGTTTTTGCAGGTTTGAGCTGCTGTTTGCTGAGCTGGAGATGAATCGAGATGAGTTGGGCATCGCCAGTTATGGGGCGTCTGTTACCACCATGGAGGAGGTTTTTCTCAGGTATTTTACCCACAGTAAAGTCAAATCTACAAAGATTTTTTTTTTTTTTTGCGCTTCAGTGCTGAAAAAAAATACAAGCAAAAGTATATCAATCAATGAAGTTTGACTTCTACAATATCATGTATAAAATAATAAATGGCATCTTTTTTTGTATAATATTTTTTAATATACTCTGCTTTTTAGTATGACATTATTCATGCATTCAGTTTTCTTCGGCCTAGTCCCTTTATTTAGTAGGGTTCACCACAGCGGAATGAATCGCCAACTTATCCAGCATATGTTTTACACAGTGGATGCAACCCAGTACTTAAAAACATCCATACACTCTTATGTTCACACTCATACACTATGGCCAATTTAGTTTATTTAATTAACCTATAGAGCATGTCTTTGGACGTGGAGAACATGCAAATTCCACACAGAAATGGCAACTGGCCCAGCCCGGTCTTGACCTAGTGACCTTCTTACTGTTAGGTGACACTGTTAACCACTGAGCCACCGCGCCGTCCAGTACGACATTATGTACAGTCATAAAATATATAATTTTTTGTATTTTCACTGATTCACTCACTTTCCTTTAGCTTAGTGCCAGATTTATTAGGTGTCGCCACTGAGGAATGAACCGCCAATTTATTTGTAATCATCATCATCTTTTTTACATCATTTTAAATGTGCTTTTGTCGTTTTAGTAGGAATAAATAGGTAAAAAAAATGAACAAAGAAAACTATTTTCACCAGTAACAACATTGGCTCCAACAACATCTTTAACCAGTAAAACTCTGTACCGGGTCCGTGACTTGCTCGACTTTCGCTTTAAGATTTAAAGGGCTAGCATTGCACCAGACACCCCCGTAAGGGGTTTCGTTTGAAAGCGTAGAATTTATATTTTATGTACATATGCATTAATTTTGGTTTTTATTCTACTGTACAAAAGTTATTTACACTTGCATACACAACATTTTGGATGCCCGAGCTGTGTATTTTACATTGGTTCATTTTTTATATTTTTCATATGGTTTATATGTGACACACTCTTGTCGGTGCTCACACGGTTCTAGCATTCTATTTACTGAATTATATTCACATATCAAACAGTTGTCAAATGTTGTTTTTCCATGGCGCAGAAGTGAAAACAATACGTTTATGATCACTAAGCAGCCCCAGATAGCACAGACAGCTGTCATCTCTTACCTTATGCTGTGTACTTCTGGGCTATTTCTCCTCTGTTTTTGAGGTGATGTGCATAAGTAATCCTTTAAATGTCAGATGTGGTCCAAACACAGTGAATTATGTTTGATCAAACAAAAGAGTATTGAAGTATAAAAAACAATGATCGCTCCATGTGGCTTGTATAGCACTTCTTATCAGTTGGAATACAATAAGTTTTGCATAGATTATGGTAGAAACATTTGTCTTTTTTCCTATGATTACAGACTAGTGCAGGAACCACCAAAATTAATTACAGCACGCTAGACCTCATACAACCTAAAAGGTACACTTTCAAATTTGAGTTTATAAAAAAAAAATACAAAAAGCGCCTCTTTTTTTAGGTGTTTATTATAACACAGATGACATATACAGATATTTTAAACACTTTCAATAGTGTTTTATGAAAATTCAAAGGGTTTTCTTTAAAATGATACCAAATTTTTGCATTTACACCTCTGCATGTGGATTTGGGAAGCTTTTAAACTTGGGTTGGCAAAACCCAGGCGTAAATCACCAAATAGCAGCAGAGTTTAACTGGTTAAATAAATGTTTTTTTTTTATATTGTCACAAAATATGAAACGTTTGTGCAGCATTCATGGTAGTATCACGCTGCATAGGTAACAAAAAACCAAAGCAAAATGGATTATAAAAACTGGATATAACGTTTTCTTGCTCTGAAAATTGTGATAGAAACTGACTTTAAAAACAACAACCTAAAAAACAACAAATTGATTAATTTATAAAGCATGAATACATGAATAAACTGTAAGAACGGTCTTTAAACAACAGCGGTTCGAACTGTAGTTCTGCCGAGCGACTAAAAAGTGATCAGCATGATGGTAAAAAACTGTACATTTCTCGTCAAACCTTTCTTCTGCAATCTCATACCAAAAACGGAAATAAGGGCAGTATTAATAGCTGTAAATGTGGGAGAGCGTTGATATTATGTGATTGTATTGTATTGCTATATGGAACAATTAAGTGTTGATGTTAAATCAAAAGTAATTCACAAATACTTGAAAATGAAATGATTTAATGACAACAATTCTCTATGGTTACAACTGAATTAATAACAAAATACTGTATAAAATGATAAAATATGAAATGATAAAACATATGGTATAAATTGTACCCAGCTTAAATGTAAAATTAAAGTTACCAGAGGTAGAAGGAGAGACACAGAGGGAGGGAGAGAGACAAAGAGAGCAGGCCCAGAAGCCTGATTGCAGCACAGTCAGAGAAGATGGAGGAGAGGAACAGAGCAGGAGAGAACTAGGCCAGGAAAAGAGAGGGCAGTAAAAAAGACAGAGCTCGAGTTTACCACCTATCTTGTATCTTTCTTGACCATGTGACCACCAATGCTGAGACATTCAAACTGACCAATCAACATGTGACTACACCATAAAACCCTCAAAGTCCACACAACAGGCCCTGATCTTATCAGTATCTGGCTTTGTAGTCAGTATGGACCTTCTTGAGTCAAAAAGCATGCTTTGTCATATAAAAAAATGCATACGATAATTTAGCCTCTTACAAAACCCTCCAAAAAATCCCTTTGGAAGATTTGAACACTTTTGCTCTGAAATCAGACCACATAGGCCGGCACATTGCCGGCAGCTAGCTCTCTGCAACTCTCACATGGTCGCCCACTGAAGCTAAGCAGGGCTGCGCCCGGTCAGTACCTGGATGGGAGACCACATGGGAAAGCTAGGTTGCTGCCGGAAGTGGTGTTAGTGAAGCCAGCAGGGGGCGCCCAACCTGCGGTCTGTGTGGGTCCTAATGCCCCAGTATAGTGACGGGGACGCTATACTGCTCAGTGAGCGCCGTCTTTCGGATGAGACGTTAAACCGAGGTCCCGACTCTCTGAGGTCGTTAAAAATCCCAGGATGTCCTTCGAAAAGAGTAGGGGTTTAACCCCAGCATCCTGGCCAAATCTGCCCACTGGCCTTTGTCCATCATGGCCTCCTAACCATCCCCATATTCAATTGGCTGCATCACTGTCTCCTCTCCACCAATCAGCTGGTGTGTGGTGTGCGGTCTGGCGCAAAATGGCTGCCGTCGCGTCATCCAGGTGGATGCTGCACACTGGTGGTAGATGAGGAGATTTCCCCCACTGTGTAAAGCGCTTTGAGTGCCCAGAAAAGCGCTATACAAATGTAAGGAATTATTATTATTATTATTACATATTCTGAATGCTCCTTCTAACAGGCAGAGAGGAACACTTTATTGACATAAAAGAAATGCTAAATGTGATATACTTAAAAAAAATCTAATTGTAGGACTTTACAACCCCTAAAGGGAACTGAGAACAGTTTTTGGCTTTCTCTGAAAAACGCACCAACTGCAGAAACTTGATCAGTCTCTGCTGTATGACTTTAAACCAATCATGCTATTTCCTCCTGACCTCATGGTTTTGTAGAGCTCAAAAGCGCACCTGAATGCTCTGCTCTGCTTGAGATGCTCATTAGCTGTAGGACAGTGCTCACAGTGACCGGTTACAGTGACTTTAGTGCTTTGTTTCTTCAGTTTTTTTTTGAGGACTTCCACATAGCTGCTTTTATATGGAGGCATACATTGGCTGGCCAGCATACATGGCTGTCCCTAAAGCATGCAGATCATACTCATTTATAAATTCTTAATATTTGTTTAATGTTTTAAATAACTGTTTTCTAGTTCTCATGTTTGTGACATGATCCTTCTGAAATTATTATAGTATTCTTATTTGCTGATCTATTAGGATATGTAATACTCTGATTTGGGCGACGCAGTGGCGCAGTAGGTAGTGCTGTCGCCTCAAAGCAAGAAGGTCGCTGGTTCAAGCCTCGGCTGGGTCAGTTGGCATTTCTGTGTGGAGTTTGCATGTTCTCCGGGTGCGCCGGTTTCCCCCACTGTCCAAAGACATGTGGTACAGGTGAATTAGGTAGGCTAAATTGTCTGTAGTGTATGAGTGTGAATGAGATCCCAGAGATGGGTTGCAGCTGGAAAGGCATCCGCTGCGTAAAAACATGTGCTGGATAAGTTGATGGTTCAATCCGCTGTTGTGACCCGGATAAATAAAGGGACTAAGCCGAAAAGAAAATGAATGAATGAATGAATGAATACATACTATGATATGTAATATTTTTGGTCCTCAATTATTAATTAAAATTCTAATTATAAAATCTAATTATTTTTTTACCCTGGTTAATAGTTTTGCGGAAACTGATACAGATTTTGAATTTATTAGTTTTATTATTAATGTATTTATGTTCATAATGGTGCTTTCGAATGGTATTATATCAGTTTTCACAAATGCTCAGGGCTGACAATTCCAATTTCTAAATAAAATTGTTTTTTCATTATATATAATTTATTTTCACACTAAAATGTTATGCGTTCTTGAATTATAAAAGTGCATATTTAATGATGTTTTTGTATAGTACTAGATAATTTTTTACAAAAATATAAAGCAGCTCAACTATTGATTATAATTATAATGATAATCATAATGATAATAATAATGGCAAAAACAACAACAACAATAATAATAGTTATTATTATTATTATTATTGTTATTATTATTATTATTATTATTATTATTATTACTTGTTAATTGTTTCCTGATTATCAAATTATAGAGAACTGGAATACAGATGCTGAAAATATAGTTTAAATTCAGTAGTAAACCAGATTTTAAAACAAAACAAATATTTTGAAATGTAATATTATTTCTTATATTTATAAAGTATTTTAGTGTATTTTTACCTAAATAAATGCAGCCTAGGTGAGCAGAATATTGTGTATTCTTAGGTTTTTCGGGTTGAAAGACATTTAAAAAAACTTTTTTTTCATTATAAATTGAATTATTTTCACACAATAATTTAATGAGTTCTTGATTAATAAAAGTGCATATTGAATTATATTTTCGAATTATCAATATATCAGTTTTCACAAAAATATAAAACAGCACAACCGTTTTTGACACTGATGTTAATGAGAATAATGAATAATAATAATAATAATCACAACAGCAACATTAATAAAATAATAATAGTAATTATTAGTACTTTTAAAGGGCACCTATGATAAAAATAATAATTTGGAAGTTGAACACTGTTACGACATTGCGGGTGACTCATCGTTGCAGAAAGGCTTGAATTAACTCCACAACAAATACATCAAATAATCATTAGGAAAGTTCTTACTGTAGTATTTCTCACAAACGTTCCGTGAGATCTGCTTTCTTCATGTCTGTCACTGTGCTGTTTATATGACGCAGCAGGAGATGGACATCAGAGCAATAGGGAGCGATCTTTGTGGCTCTGACAGGCTTGTGGGAATGGTGGGTGGGGAGAACCAGCTCATTTGCATTTAAGGCACAGGCAAGAAAAACATCTACGATGTGCTCAGGGCTGACAATTCCAATATTAAGAAAGGTAAAACTTTACAGACACGTTCTGGAGACACAAAATACTTTTTTGAAGCTTAAAAAGGGGATAAAATAGATGCCCTTTAATGTTTCCTGACTATCAAACCACGGAAGGCTGAAATAGAGATGCTAAAAATTTAGTTGGAAGTCATGAAAATGAATTAAGTTTTAAACCAATTTTGAAAAGAAAACCGATTAAAAAAAAAAAAAAAATCTTACTCATCCAAATGTCTGTGCTCAGGGTCGGCAAGCTGGTGGACTCGAGTCTGGATATTCAGGCGATTCAGCTCCCGGCTCTGCAGTACCAGCACGAGCGGCGCTCTCACGACTGGACCATGGACGACTCCAGCAGCATCAGCGGCATGACAGACGTGACCGATTTCACCGACAGCTGCACAATGATCTCAGAGGACGGATCCAACATCAAGCTCAACACCGGGGTCAGTGCATTCTTTGTTTTTCACAGGAAGAAGAATCCAAGCATGGTGGTATTTGATGACTATTTAATACTAGTATTAATTAACACACATGCATGTGTTTGCCCTCAGGCCAGACTGTATATGCAGCAGTTCTACGCCATGTTCCTGAAGAGGGCGCTCTACAGCTGGCGCAACTGGAAAGTGATGGTGGCTCAGTTTCTGGTGCCGCTCATCTTCACAGTGTTGGCCCTCGTAGTGGCCCGTAGCCTGCCCAGCAGCCATTCTTCACCACAGCTCCGCCTGGCGCTAAAACAATACGGCCAAACCCATGTACCTGTTGCTGTTGAAGCTAACGCCGGGCCACTGGCTTCACTTCTGGCTGAAATCTACACCACACAGCTGCCTTCCCAGAATGCCATTGCTGCACCTAATATAACAGGTACAAATAAACCAATGAGTTTGAGATGCACCATGTTGTATTTTATATTGTATTGACGATATCTGATAAGCTAGCCATTTTTAGCTCATTTCACTTTGGTAGATAGCAGATGCCGATAATGATTTATATATATTGTTTGTTTGTGTGTGTGTGTTTTTGTTTATGGAAAGCGTCCATTTACGAGTGCCAGGTTTGTGAACTTCCCCTAAGCTTTAGCTTCTGACCTTTAGTGATTGTTAGTAAATGACATAATCATACAGTCAAGTATTCACTTCAGTAATGACCCAACTGCTGACCTGGTCTTAGTTATAGGACTTCTTGTAGAAATGTTAGTAGACACATAGGAAATAGCTGACAATAGACTATTGAATTAATAGAAAGTATTGAAGTGTAGTGGGTGTTATACCTGGGCTGTGCATTATTTTCTAATAATTCAATGGACTAGAGTCAATTATTCTGCTTATACTATAGTAACCACACCGGAATACACTGCTCAGATGTTGTGTATGAATATATTAGTTAGGTTTGTAGGACTAGTTTCTTTAATAATCTCATCTAAAAATCATTGGGTGTAGTGATATGCAACTGTGATGTGGCAAAGCCTGTGTGGAACTACTTTAGCTGTGTGTTTATCTAAATATAACCACATACCTTAAATGCTCATCAGCCAATCAGCATCAAGTATTTCTGTTTTTTGTAAAGCTTTAATTTACATCTGCCAGGTTTGGGATCTTTGGTTTGTTGATCTTCTGACCTTCAGTGATTCGTTAGTAATTAACTTACAATTGGATATTGCACGTGGACTCGCTTTCGCAATTTAATGTCGGCAAATTTTACTTGAATAATGACCCGACTCATGACCTGATCTCATTTTTAGCACTCCTGGTAGACAAGTATGTAGCCACATAGGAAGTAGTTGACAGTAGGCCATTGGATTATTAGGAAATAATGTGTAGTGGGTGTTATACCTGGGCTGTGCATTATTTTCTAATAATTCAATGGACTAGAGTCAATTATTCTGCTTATACTATAGTAACCACACCGGAATACACTGCTCAGATGTTGTGTATGAATATATTAGTTAGGTTTGTAGGACTAGTTTCTTTAATAAACTCATCTAAAAATCATTGGGTGTAGTGATATGCAACTGTAATGTGGCATAGCCTGCTTGGAACTACTTTAGCTGCGTTTTTATCCAAATATAGTCACATACCTTAAATGCTCATCAGCCAATCAGCATCAAGTATTTCTGTTTTTTGTAAAGCTTTTATTTACATCTGCCAGGTTTGGGATCTTTGGTTTGTTGATCTTCTGACCTTCAGTGATTCGTTAGTAATTAATTTACAGTTGGATATTGCACGTGGACTCGCTTTCGCAATTTAATGTCGGCATTATACCTGGGCTGTGCATTATTTTCTAATAATTCAATGGACTAGAGTCAATTATTCTGCTTATAATATAGTAACCACACCCAAATACACTGCTCAGATGTTGTATTTCAATAAATTAGTGATGTTTGCTCCTGTTTATGGGACTAGTTTCTTCAAAACTCTCATTCAAATCCTTTTGTTTTGATATGAAATCTTATTTTATAGTGATATGGAATTGCAATGTGGCCAGAATTTGTGTGGAACTACTTTAGCTGTTTGTTTATTCAGGAAAAAAACTCATGCTGATCAGCCAATCAGCATTAAGTAATTTTTTTTAAAGTGGTTATTTCCAAATCAAATCCAAATAAATCCGAATCCTTTTGTTCTGAAATGAAATCATTAGGTGTAGTGATATGCAACTGTAATGTGGCCAAAAATTGCTGGGAACTGCTTTAGCTGTTTGTTCTTAAAATAATTATATAATAATATCTGAAAATAACCACATGTTCATCAGCCAATCAGCATCAAGTATTTTTAATTTTTGGAAAGCGTTTATTTACAAGTGCCAGATTTGGGATCTTTAGTTTCTTGATATTTATATTCTGACATTTAATGATTGTTAGTTAATAACTTACAGGTGATTATTGAACATGGACTCTCTTTCGCAATTTAATGTCTGCAAATATTCACTTAAATAATGACCCGACTCCTGACCTGATCTCATTTCTAGATCTCTTTTTAGACAAGTAAGTTACTGCATAGAATATAATTGACAACAGGTCATTGAATTATTAAAAAATAATGCACTATTATACCTGGCCTGTTCATTATTTTCTAATTATTCATGAGACTAGAGTCAAATTTTCTGCTTATACTATAGGAACCACACCTGAAGACACTGCTTGGATGTTGTATTTCAGTACATCAGTTATGTTTGTAGGACTAGTTTCTTCAAAAATCTCATCTAAATCCTTTTGTCTTGATTTGAAATAATTTGGCGTAGTGATCTGGAATTGTAATGTGGTCAACTACTTTAGCTGTTTGTTTATCTGAAAATAACCGCACGGCAATTTAAAGTCAGCAAATATGCACTTAAATAATGACCCGACTCCTGACCTGATCTTATTTCTAGCACTCCTGGTAGACAAGTAAGCAGCCACATAGGAAATAGTTGACAATAGGCCTTTGGATTATAAGAAAATAATGCCCACCTGAGGTGGAGATGAAGTGTAGTGGCCTTTATACCTGGGCTGTGCATTATCTTCTAATAATTCAACAGACAAAGTCAATTATTTTGCTTATACTATAGTAACCACACCCAAATACACTGCTTAGATGTTGTATTTCAATACTTTAGTGATGTTTGCTTCAGTTTGTAGGACTAGTTTCTTCAAAAATCTCATCTAAATCCTTTTGTTTTGATATGAAATCATTAGGCGTAGTGATATGCAACTGTAATGTGGCCAAAAACCGCCGGGATTTGCTTTAGCTGTTTGTTTATCTGAAATTAACTTCATGTTCTTCAGCCTATCAGCATCAAGTATTTTTGTTTTTTGGAAAGCGTTTATTTACATGTGTCATGTTTGGAATCTTTAGTTTCTTGATATTTAGATTCTAACCACACCCAAATACACTGCTCAGATGTTGTATTTCAGTACATTAGTGATGTTTGCTCCTGTTTGTAGGACTAGTTTCTTTAAAAATCTCATTCAAATTCTTTGTTTTGATATGAAATCATTCGGCGTAGTGATCTGGAATTGTAATGTGGTCAACTACTTTGGCTGTTTGTTTATCTGAAAATAACCGCACGGCAATTTAAAGTCAGCAAATATGCACTTAAATAATGACCCGACTCCTGACCTGATCTTATTTCTAGCACTCCTGGTAAACAAGTAAGCAGCCACATAGGAAATAGTTGACAATAGGCCATTGGATTATAAGAAAATAATGCCCACCTGAGGTGGAGATGAAGTGTAGTGGCCTTTATACCTGGACTGTGCATTATTTTCTAATAACTCAAAAGACAAAGTCAATTATTTTGCTTATACTATAGTTACCACACCCAAATACACTGCTTAGATGTTGTATTTCAATACTTTAGTGATGTTTGCTTCAGTTTGTAGGACTAGTTTCTTCAAAAATCTCATCTAAATCCTTTTGTTTTGATATGCAATCATTGGGCGTAGTGATATGCAACTGTAATGTAGCCAAAACCTGCCTGGAACTACTTTAGCTGTGTGTTTATAAGAATATAAGAATCAAGTATTCAAGTATCTTATCAACAAGGTATGTTGGTTTAATTTTTCATATTGGGCCAATGCCGATGGTTCCATTTAAAGCAATTAGTAGCTTAGCTATCAAATAGTATAAAAAAATAATGAAACCAGTGACAGTCTTAGTGGTGTCCTGACCTGTGGTTTGTGTGTTTAGATTTCTCGGAGTATGTGCTTTATAATGCTCAGAGGGAGGGCGGAGCTTTCAACGAGCACTGTGTGGTCGGCGCCGCTTTCAGAAGCAGTGATGTTATCGGATACTTCAATAATCAGGGCTATCATACACCCGCGACAGCGCTCATGCTGGTGGACAACGCTCTCTTCAAGCTCCTAGCCGGACCCAATGCCTCCATCCAGACTGGAAATGACCCCATGCCACGCAATGTGTCCGAGACGGCCCAGAGCCAGCTCTCTGAGTACGTATCAGCTAGTGGAGCATTCAGTTGTGCTTTAAGGGCCCTGCAAAATACATTTCTTTTTTTTTTTTTTTACATTTTTGTTGAATTTTTGGGAGGAAATTTTAACTATTTGATTAAATTTTAATGGTAAAAAAAGCGTGTTTAATTTTTTTTTTAAATTAAATTTTTAAGTTTAATAAATAAGAAGGTTTAATTTTATCCATTTAATAAAATCCCACTTTTCTGTTTCAATTTTTCTCGATTTCAGTTTAATAGTTTATATCCATTTCCATAAGTATATTCGATCAATTGACTTTAAAAAGATAATCATTTATTAACAGTAATAAATGGATAAATGATCAAATATTAAATAATAAACAATGACAATTATAAATTGTTTTAATAATTAGCAAAGTTTTATTTTTTTTCCCCAAAATTTAATTATAGTAGTAAAAAAGCATTGATTTTTTTTAAACTTACATTTAATAACTGTATGCGATTTTAACAATGTTAATAATTCATTTGGATTTTCCCTATTTTGCCTAAATGTCTTGATTATTTTAGTTTTAATAGTCAAAAATCAAGTCTGAATTCATTAATGTAAAAAAATGAATTATTAAAGTTTTAATGTTCCCTATAAAAGATGCTTTATTTATTTGTTTTTTTTTTTTTTTTACGAAAGTATGACATTTTACATACATTTTCCAGTATTGTGTGTTTTATGATTTGACACTTATTTATTTTCCTTTTTTGCCTAAACTCCGTTTATTTCAATCAAAAGTCAAGCATAATCAACTGAATTCATATAAAGTAAAAAATGTTTTAGTTCCCTATAAAATGTTTTATTTATTTAATTATTTAAATAGTTTATTTCCCTATAAAAGATGTTTTATTCATTTATTTAAATATTTAAGTTCCCTATAAAAGATGTTTCATTTATTTATTTAAATATTCCAGTTCCCTATAAAGATGTTTTAATTATTTATTAAAATATTTAGTTCCCTATAAAAGGTCTTTTATATATTTATATATATATATTTATTTATTTATTTATTTATTTATTTATTTATTTATTTATTTATTTATTTAAATGTTTTAGTTCCCTATTAAATATGTTTTATTTATTTATTTTTTTTATTTAAATGTTTTAGTTCCCTATTAAATATATTTTATTTATTTATTTATTTATTTAAATGTTTTAGTTCCCTATTAAATATGTTTTATTTTTATTTATTTATTTAAATGTTTTAGTTCCCTATAAATGATGTTTTATTTATTTATTTAATTGTTTTTAGTTCCCTATAAAATATGTTTTATTTATTTATTTAAATATTTTTAGTTTCCTATAAAATATGTTTTATTTATTGGTTTATTTAAATGTTTTAGTTCCCTATTAAAGATATATATATATATATATATATATATATATATATATATATATATATATATATATATATATATATATATATATATATATATATATATATATTTATATATTTATATATTTTTAGTTTCCTATAAAAGCTGTTTTATTTATTTATTTAAATAAGTTTAGTTCTCTATAAAAGCTGTTTTTATTTATTTAAAAAAAAAAATTTAGTTCCCTATAAAATTTATTAAAATATTTTTAGTTCTCTATAAAATGTTTTATTTATTTATTTAAATGTTTTTAGTTCCCTATTAAAGAAGTGTCATTTATTTATATTTTACGAAAGTTAGACATTTTCACATACATTTTTCTAGATTGCTTGTTTTATGATTTGATACAGATTTGTCAAATACTGTGGTAATCAAATGAATGTTTAATACTTTAACAGTTTAATAGATTTGTTAAATATTTTGGTATTCAAATGAATGCATAATACTTTAACAGTTTAATACTTTTTATACTTTCCCCTCTATAATTACATTCAAATTTCTGCATTATTTTAATCATAGAGTCTTAGCAAAAAAATTGCTCAAATCTTGAACTCTGAGTGAATTTTTCATGGTACATCTTTAGTTGTTCTTTCTTTTTCTTCATTGTACCTGATTTTTGTATCTGCAGGAGTCAGACAGGCTTTGCCATCGCCATAAACCTGATGTACGGCATGGCTTCATTAGCCAGCACCTTTGCCCTGCTCCTCGTGTCCGAGCGCTCGGTCAAGTCCAAGCACGTGCAGCAGGTCAGCGGGGTTTACCTCACCAACTTCTGGTTCTCTGCCCTGCTGTGGGACCTCATCAACTTCCTGTTACCCTGCTTGCTCATGCTGGTCAGTATAAGTTTCTATCTATGACAAAACTACAGTATCATTAGGCTAGTTTAATACAGATGGCTTTTTCCAGTGCCTTGGACAGATGATTTGCATAATCAAACTTTTAGTAGTTCCCTCAATAAGTTCATTGTTTGAATTACATCCATGCCTGACATGTTCTCCTCAGGTGGTCTTCAGAGTGTTCTCAGTGAAGGCGTTTGTAGCCCAAAACCACCTGGTGGATGTTCTGTTCTTGCTGCTTCTGTACGGCTGGGCGGTGATTCCTCTCATGTACTTGATGAGTTTCCTGTTTTCCACGGCCGCCACAGCCTACACGCGCCTCACCATCTTCAACATCATCAGCGGCACCGCCACCTTCCTCGCCGTCACCATCATGACCATACCTGGTGAGACACGCACGTCCCCATTTTAGTTTTGTGCCTTGCAAGAACATCTTTTCACTCCCTTTATGTTTTCTCCCAGAGCTGAATTTGCTCCATCTCTCGCACCTCCTGGATAAGGTCTTCCTGATCTTCCCGAATTACTGCCTGGGCATGTCCTTCACTGAGTTCTACCAGAACTACGAGATGATCACCTTCTGCACCTCCAGCCCCTTAGCGAAGTACATCTGCAAGTACTACAGTGAGTTTCTGATGTGATGAACACACAAGCTGAAGAACCACACACCTGGAAAATACAGCTGTGGCGAAACATTTGCAGGAAGTTGATTGTGCATCAATTCAGAGATATTTAAAATGCATCATACTGTTTCTTGAATTCATTTGGAGCTTAGATGCAGCAGATTGAGCTCCAGGCTAGTTTTTAACAGCAGATAGTGCTCTAGGCTATTTTTTTAACAGAAGATGTTGATCTAGGACAATTTTAACAGCAGATGGTGCTCTAGGCTAGTTTTTCCAACAGCATGTGGTGCTCTAGACTAGATTTTTATCAGCAGATGGCGCTTTAGGCTAGTTTTTAGCCGCAGATGGCGCTCTAGGCTAGTTTTTAAACAGAAGATGGCCCTCTAGGCTAGTTTTTAAACAACAGATGGCGCTCTGGGCTAGTTTTTAAACAGAAGATGGCCCTCTAGGCTAGTTTTTAAACAACAGATGGCACTCTGGGCTAGTTTTTAAACAGAAGATGGCACTCTAGACTAGTTTTTACAGTAGATATGGTGCTTTAGGCTAGTTTTCAAACAGCAGATGGCGCTCTAGACTAGTTTTTATTAGCAGATGACGCTTTAGGCTAGTTTTTAAACTGCAGATGGTGCTCTAGGATAGTTTTAACAGCACATGACGCTCCAGGCTAGTTTTTAACAGCAGATGGCACTCTAGGCTAGTTTTTAAACAACAAATGGCGCTCTAGGCTAGTTTTTAAACAGCAGATGGCACTCTAGGCTAGTTTTTTAACAGAAGATGGTGATCTAGGACAATTTTAACAGTTGATGGTGCTCTAGGCTAGTTTTTCTAACAGCATGTGGCCCTCTAGGCTAGATTTTTAGCAGCAGATGGCACTCTAGGCTAGTTTTTAAACAACAGATGGCGCTCTGGGCTAGTTTTTAAACAGAAGATGGCACTCTAGGCTACTTTTTTAACAACAGATGGCACTCTAGGCTAGTTTTTACAATAGATGGTGCTTTTGGCTAGTTTTTAAACAGCAGATGGCACTCTAGGCTAGTTTTTAAACAGAAGATGGCACTCTAGGCTTGTTTTTACAGTAGATGGTGCTATAGGCTAGTTTTTAAACAGCAGATGGCGCTCTAGGATAGTTTTTAACAGCAGATGGCGCTCTAGGCTAGTTTTTAAACAGCAGATGGCGCTCTAGGCTAGCTTTTAAACAGCAGATGACGCTCTAGGCTAGTTTTTAACAGCAGATGGTGCTCAAGCATAGTTTTTAACAGCAGATGGCGCTCTAGGCTCATTTTTAAACAGCAGATGGTGCTCTAGGCTAGTTTTTAAACAGCAGATGGCGCTCTTGGCTAGTTTTTAACAGCAGATGGCGCTCTAGGCTAGTTTTTAAACAGCAGATGGCGCTCTTGGCTAGTTTTTAACAGCATATGGTGCTCTAGGCTAGTTTTTAAACAGCAGATAGCACTCTAGGCAGATGGGTATTAGATATGATCAGTAGATGACTAGATATGACCGATACATGACATGATATTACAGATGAGCACTTCGATATGATGGATGCAAGGATATATGCTAGACGTAGAGTTAGATATGACGGATGCCTGATTGAATATATTAGATGCATGGTTAGATACTGGTTCAATGATTTAGATCATAGGTCTCAAACTCAATTCCTGGTGGACCGCAGCTCTGCACAGTATTGCTCCAACCCTAGTCAAACACACCTGATCCAACTTATCAAGGTGTTTAAGACTCTTTTGAACACCTCGATTATTTGGATCATCTATGTTTGACTAGGTTTGGAGCAAAACTGTGCAGAGCTGCGGAATTGAGTTTGAGACCTATGATTTAGATGCATACAAGATCAGGTATGATGAATGATGCATTGACATATTTGAGAAGTGCATTATCCTCAATGTTATTTCTGGTGGTCATCCGCAGACATCACGTATCAAATGAACTACTTTTCCATGGAGGAGCCTGGAGTCGGACGCTTCCTGGTGGCTTTGTCCTTGCAAGGCGTCGTCTTCATAATCCTGCTGTTCCTCATTGAGCTCCGGTGCATCCGCCTGCTACTCAACCTCTGCAGAAGACGCAAGAAGGTGATTAAAGAAAAAAGGCAGAGCACGTGCTTCTGTAGCACTGGAATGAAGGTCACCAATAATAGTTGTGTGTTTTTTGCCAGGCTCTGCTGTTAGCAGAAGAAGCTCTTCAACCTGAGGACCGAGACGTTGCAGAGGAGAGGAAGAGGGTTTTAGAGTGTCAGCCGGTGGTGGAGTCTATGGTGGGCAGCCCGCTCGTTGTACAGGAGCTCAGCAAGGTACACTTCTTCAACAGTGTTTAGCTACATCCTAAAGACCAAAAGTTCTATGTAATCTATATTGTCTGACAGTTTGACCATTGTAAATAACCTGATTCCATCGTTCTTATATAGTCAAATAGCACATAGATATTTATTGATTTTAAAGACTAACATTATTATTATTTATTTGACATGGACAGCATTTGTTTAGGTGTTTTAGCTGATTTGCTAATTCTTTACACCTGTCCAAGTGAGGCTTGACATATAATGAAAATATAATAGATACATATACACAACATCATAATTCTTCACATGAAATTACTATAAGGCAAGGCAAGGCAAGGCAAGGCAAGGCAAGTTTATTTATATAGCACATTTCATACACAGTGGCAATTCAAAGTGCTTTACATAAACAGGAATAAAAAAGACAAGTTTAGGAACATAAAATGTAGACAATAGACAATAAAAATTATTAAAAACAGATAAAAACAAATTAAAATGAGTTAAAATAGGTTATAAAAGAATGAAAAGGAAAACGAAAAACATAATAGTGCGATCTGTCGGACGCAGCACAGTGCTCATTCAGTAAAGGCACAGCTAAACAGATGTGTTTTCAGTCTTGATTTGAATGTGCCTAATGTTGGAGCACATCTGATCATTTCTGGAAGCTGATTCCAGCAGCGAGGGGCGTAGTGGCTGAAGGCAGATTTACCCTGCTTAGATTGAACTCTTGGAACTTCTAGTTTATATGATCCTAAAGATCTGAGTGATCTGTTAGGTTTGTATTCAGTGAGCATATCTGTAATGTATTGAGGTCCTTGGCCATTTAGTGATTTATAGACCAGTAATAATACTTTAAAATCTATTCTGAATGTAACTGGCAGCCAGTGTAGAGACCTGAGGACAGGTGTGATGTGCTCTGATTTCCTGCTTCTGGTCAGAATTCTGGCTGCAGCATTCTGGATGAGCTGCAAGTGTCTGACTGTCTTTTTGGGAAGGCCAGTGAGGAGTCCATTACAGTAATCCACCCTGCTACTGATAAAAGCATGAACAAGTTTTTCTAAATCTTCACTAGAAACAAAGCATCTGATTCTTGCTATGTTTTTGAGATGATAGTATGCTGATTTACTGACTGCTTTGACATGACTGTTGAAACTCAGATCTGACTCCAGCGTCACACCAAGATTCTTGACCTTATTTTTTGTCGTTTGACCTTTAGAGCCTAGGTACGCATTCACCTTGAGAACCTCATCTCTGTTCCCAAACGCAATGATTTCAGTTTTCTCTTTGTTTAACTGAAGAAAGTTTTGGCACATCCAATTTTTAATTTCATCAATACATTGGCAGAGGGTGTCAATGGGGCTGTAGTCATTAGGCACTAAGGCTAGGTAGATCTGAGTGTCATCAGCATAGCTGTGGTAGGAGATTTGATTCTTTCTCATTATTTGGCTCAGAGGGAGCATGTAAAGGTTGAACAGGAGAGGTGCCAGAATCGAGCCTTGTGGGACTCCACATGTCATGGGTGTCCACCTCGACCTATGATCACCTATACTGACATAGTAACCTCTCCCTTCAAGGTAAGATCTGAACCATTTGAGGACTGTCCCAGACAGCCCAACCCAGTTTTCCAGCCTATCCAGAAGTATGCTGTGGTCGACAGTGTCAAATGCAGCACTGAGATCGAGCAATACCAACACTGTTATTTTACCTGAATCTGTGTTTAGACGTATATCATTGATTATCTTTATAAGAGCGCTCTCTGTACTGTGATGTCCTCTGAAACCAGATTGAAAATTGTCTAAACACCCCCTGAAGTTTAAGAACTTGTTAACCTGGTTGAAAACAACCTTTTCAATGATTTTGCCAATGAAAGGGAGATTTGAGATTGGCCTGTAATTGCTCAATAGGGTGTTATCCAGGTTGCTCTTCTTCAAGAGGGGTTTAACAACTGCAGTTTTAAGTGAGTTTGGAAAAATCCCTGATAGAAGTGAAGCATTTACCACTTTTAGAAGATCCATTTCTAAACAGGTAAACACCGTTTTGAAGAATGATGTGGGGAGCGTGTCAAGACTGCAGGTTGATGTTTTTATAATTTGCACCATCTCTTCTAAGATTTTACCGTTAATTGCCATGAAATCAGACATAATGTCTGACTTCTCAAGTTGTGGTTGAGTTTGTTTGATATTGACACAACTTGGCTGATTGGATGAGCTGATTGCCTTTCTGATATTATTGATCTTATCAGTAAAAAAATTAGCAAATTCGTTACAATTGCTTACAGAGAGGAGCTCACTGGGAATCCGACTGGGGGGGTTTGTGAGCCTCTCTACTGTTGCAAAGAGTGTGCGAGCATTATTTACATTGTTGTTTATAAGGTTTGAAAAGAAAGTCTGTCTAGCAGTTTTTAGTTCCACATTAAAAGCCTGAAGACTGTCTTTATAGATATTATAATGGACTACTAGTTTCGTCTTTCTCCACATACGCTCAGCTTTCCTGCATTGTCTTTTCTTCATTTGGACTGCTCTTGAGTTTCTCCAAGGGACTCTCTCTTTGCCAGTTCTCTTCCTAACTTTAACAGGAGCGATGTCATTTATTACATTTTCAATTTTAGAATTAAACAAATCAAGGAGAGAATCAACAGAGTCTGCAGATATACTTGGTGCTAGCGATATGGCCTTCATAAACTGCTCACTAGTGTTCTCATTTATGCATCTCTTTCTGACAGAGACAGATCTGTCTTTAATAGCTGGAGTGATCAATATATCAAAGAAAATACAGAAATGATCAGATAGTGCCACATCCTTAACAACAGTCGATGAAATGTGTAAACCCTTAGTTATAAGTAGATCAAGAGTGTGTCCACGATTGTGTGTGGGTCCTTGAACATGCTGAGTCAGATCAAAAGTGTTAAAAACAGTCATCAGTTCTTTTACAGCATTGATTTCTGGATTATCTATATGAATATTAAAATCCCCAGCAATAGTAAAATGATCATATTCAGATGTTACTATTGATAACAGCTCTGTAAAATCCTCAATAAAAGCTGGAGAATATTTTGGAGGTCTGTAGATAATGATTAGTAAGATGCGTGGAGACCCTTTTAGTGCTATACTCAGATATTCAAAAGACAAATAGTCACCAAATGACACTTGTTTACATTCATAGACATCTTTAAACAGGGCAGCGATGCCTCCACCTCTCCTATTAGCTCTGCAAACACTCAAAAAGGCAAAGTTTAAAGGAGCTGCTTCATTCAGAACTGCTGCGCTACAACTGTCATCTAGCCAAGTTTCATTTAAAAGCATAAAATCAAGGCAATTTGTGTTGATAAAATCATTGACTAAAAGTGACTTATTATTGAGTGATCTGATGTTTAGAAGTGCTAACTTAACAGTTTTAGTCGTTTTCACTACAGAAGTCTCAGATATACATTTAATAGACACCAGATTTGAATGATTTGCTATACGGTCTGAAAGAGTCTTTGGTTTTCTGTCACGTAATAAGACACATATCTGCGTAGAGAAAGCTACTGACACACTGGGTTCCTGCTTGTTCTGTAAACATCTGATAAAGACACTGTTATCTAAGCAGGCCCCCGAGACACATCAATGGCAGTTTTTAAGTTCACCAGCTAAAGATGAGGTGTTTTTTGGGACCTGGCGCTGTCGCAAAGACCTGAGGCCTTTCCTAGGTGTAGGGCGAGGTGGGCTTAGAGATGGGCGTGTGGCTTGCTGACTTTTGGTTGCTAACTGGGGGCTAGCAGCAATGGAGTGTGAGAGTTTAGTTCCAGCACACACCAGTTCCTCCATCTTTTTTGAAAAATCCAAGAGAGGCGAGCAAGATGACAATGAGAACGTGTCCGGTGACAGAGGCTGTGTGTCCGGTGACAGAGGCTGTGGGTCTGGGGTTTCTGGCTGCTGAGATATGTTTACCTGGCTGTTTTCCTGGGGATCATCAATGAGTGCTGAGACTTGATGCTGTTCTGATGCATCACAGTCTGCCTGTGTTGAGCTCAGTGTGCAGGGTGCAGACGGCAGTTTGTCCGTTATCGGCGGTTGTTGTGGCTGCGTGGTGTTATCTCTGTCCTTGTAGGATGCGTCAGCCACAAGTCCACTCAGGAGCTGATTTGAAGTCCTGTGGTCATCCGGACATTTGCTAGGTGTGTGTGTGTCATTCAGTTCAGTGGCATACACAGCTGATGGATGATGGAGGGAGAAGAGGATGTTGTCTTTCAGCACTTTTGCACCAAGCTTGTTTGGATGAAGGCCGTCTGATGTAAACAGCTGTCTTTGGTTCCAGAAGAGATTGAAGTTGTCGATGAAATTCAGTCTTTTCATGTTACATGTTTTCTGCAGCCATGCATTTAGACCAAGGAGCCTTGAAAACATATTTGTCCCTCTTGCAGGGAGTGGTCCACTGATGAACGGCTGAATTTTCAATCTTTCAACTGTTTCCAAAAGCTTACAGAAATCTCTCTTGAGCAGTTCTGACTGCTCCTTCCGAATATCATTCTTCCCCACATGGATGATAATCCGTTTTGCAGTCTCATGTTTCCTTAATATGTTCTCAAGTTCTTTATTTATATCAGAAACTGTAGCATGAGGAAAGCAGTATGTCATGGTATCTCTGCTCCTAAAATTTTTGATTATTGAGTCTCCAACAATCAGTGTTCTTATCTCTGTTGCGATCGGAGCAGAATGCCGCTGTCTAGTCGGCCTTGAGCCTCTGTTCAGAGCAAAGTTAATTGCTGAGTCATGCGATCTCTGTCTAACTGCATTTGGGGAATCTTCACCCATATTACTCAAAACTTCATATCTGTTCTGAAGCTGTATTTGAGTCCGAGCTGTATTTGGGGTAGAGAACGCTAATGCAGCAGCGTATGACCTTCGTGATCTGACCCCACGAGTACCCTTTGGTCTCGCACCTTGTTTATGCCATAGTTCACGCTGATTTTCAACAGTTTCAATCTGTTTTTCTGTTCTCAAAACAGTAGCTGGAGTAGATTTATAGGGCTTACCGGCTGAATGCTGTGAGGCTCCACGATGAACCGGTCCTGTGTAATTCGGCAGCTCTGGTTGGATCGCAAGTAACTTTGTTTCAAGAACTGCAATCTTTTGTAAAAGTTTGTGGCAGTTGGTGCAGCAGTGAGATTCCAAATCAATATGATCCAGAGCCATTTTCACAGCCGTGTTTTCCCGTCTCAGGAATGAAAGCAGCTGGTAGCGGGAGGATTGTTTAGACGATAATTCCTCTAAATAAAAGTAAAGTTGTACTCCAGAAAGTTTGTAGATTCGATGTTGATCTTCAAGCTGTTTCGTTTGAGCACTGTGCTGATAGGCTCAAGTTAAAATTAGATTATAAAATAAAAAAGCAGGAGTGCAAGGAGCGGAGCAGTAGGCAAAGACGTCTGAACAGTAGCAAAGCAGGAAGCAAGCTGTGTTAATCGTTTCCGGTGAATTGTATGGCAATGCAAAATTGGCACGTTTAAGGTCTGTTTTCTTTAAAAATCAGCGATCTCCACTGGCTGAGTTATATCTAATATAAAGTGTCTCAGATTGTACAAGAAGCACTGCATTAAATTACATTTTCCCCTCCATGTCTTTATAATATGAGCATTTATTTTACCCCAGTATATTCAATAGTGCTTCTGCGCTCACCTGCCGATTCTGAAGGGCGCGTGCGAGTAAACGTCTTTTTGTCTCGTTTTACGCTTGAGAAACTAAATGAATGCCAAAGTCTGTTTAACTGATTGTATTTGAATTTCATGACAACATCGATGCTGTAAAAGGAACCATATGAGATGGAAAAAAGTTCACATTAACAGGTCACCAGAAGTGTACCAGTATGGGAAACACATTAGCTCGGCATATACCCCATTGTACAAACAGCATAAAACATGCAGATACTCCAGCTTTGCTGAATTTGGGCAAAAATTCCACAATGATTAAAGTTCCTGTGAAATTAAAATCATGTTTTTTAGATGTTAGTATCAGTATGTTAGTCATGAGAGTATTTATAAGCTAATGGGCTCCAAAACAGTGACACATTTCACATTTAGAAGATATAAAAATCCAAAGCTTGCTGTTTGTCACTTCCACTTTTTGTGACGTCACCTCATATTTGAGTTCCTCATCAAGTCTTTTGACCAATCAATTGCTCTCTATTATCTGACACATCCCGCCCCCTTCACGATGCTGTTGTTACATACGCTTTATCTCAAATTCTCTCGCAGACAGAGCTGTGATAAAAATAAAATGCTATTGGCTTTTTTTACGCTATTGGAGCTACACTATATCACACCTTCTCTTATTTTTTCAGTTGAAATTATGTCAAACATCATACAAAAGTGCACACTTCAAAGCACTTGACGGGACCTTTAACCATTTCTAACGTCTGTTTGGTCTGTTCAGCAATTTTGAGAACTTTTAATTGCTAAAGGCATGTTTATACACGCTTTTACAACATTAATAAAACATAAGCTATGTTTCCATCCACCTAATTGTATGTGCATTTTGTATATGCACATAAAAAAATCGGTTGATGGAAACATCAAGATGCACTGAGTTTTGAAAATGCACATAAAAAACGTACACACATAACTGAGTAGGATAGACGTTTTATTCATTAAGAAAAGATGTGCATCAACTGCAATGGAAACATTTTTATTATACAAACTCCAGTATGCGTATTAAAAAAATCGTGTGATTTTGTTATAAGAGATCATGTGATGATAAAAATGTCGGTGAATGATCAAACCAGCAGGTTGAGCACATTGTAAAACATCTGAAAGTTGTTTCGGTCATTCTAAAATGCTTCAAACGCCACCATTGCATGTCGGTATTGTCTTCAGAGGAGCAAGTAATTTAATAAATGAAATAAAGATTCACGCAGCTTCTAACCTTTACTGTCGATATTTGACGCCAGATAATCAGGAAGTGACGATTCTGTACTCTTTGACTGTTTTGATGGAAACACTGCTTTATTCGCTCGTCTTTTATGCGATATTCCAGTTATGCGCATACATTGAATTTGAATCTTTGGATGGAAACATAGCTAATGTCACAATGGCATGGAAATTTAATCATAGCATAATATATCTTGCCCAATATGTTTTGTATTCTATAAACAAATCCACTCAGGATCTGTGTTTGTCTCACTAGATGTATTCAGGTGGGCAGTCGCTGTTAGCAGTGGACCGTCTCTCATTGGCCGTTGGGAAGGGCGAGTGCTTTGGTTTGCTGGGATTTAATGGAGCGGGGAAAACTACAACATTCAAAATGCTGACGGGAGATGAAAGCATCACTTCAGGGGACGCGTTCATTGATGGCTACAGCATCCTTACAGATGTCAAAAAGGTTAGCGCTTTATCTTCGCATTGCAATTTAACTCAAACTTTGATTCTTAAAACTTGAGTTTAACATTTAATAATTTGATTTTATAAAAAGTCCTGTCGCCTATTCAAGTTTTAGGAGCAACAAATAATGACTTCTAGCTGATCGTTTGGTATCAAAAGTGGCTGAATTGATTGATTAATGGTTAATCTTCAATGTCTTCTCCTTCAACTTAGCCCAGACATGCTCAATAATGTTCATGTCTGGTGACTGGGCTGGACAATCCTGGAGCACCTTGAGCTTCTTTGCTTTCAGGAACTTTAATATGGAGGCTGAAGTATGACAAGGAGCGCTATCCTGCTAAAGAATTTGCCCTCTCTTGTGGTTTGTAATGTAATGGGCAGCACAAATGTCTTGATACCTCAGGCTGTTGATGTTGCCATCCACTCTGCAGATCTCTCACGCCCCCTTACTGAATGTAACCCCAAACCATGATTTTTTTCGTCATCAAAATTGACTGATTTCAGTGAGGATCTTTTGGGTTCCAATAGGTCTTCTGCAGTATGTGGGATTCATCAGATGGTTCTTTTGCCAATTTTCCAAATGTTTAACTAGAAGTCAATTATTATTAGTTGCTCTTACAACTAGGGTTGACGACAAGACTTTTGTCATGTGGTGTATGGTTTATGCATTTTTAAAAATGACTTCAGGTGCAGCAGAGAATCGGCTACTGCCCCCAGTTCGATGCGGTGCTGGATCACATGACAGGACGGGAAACCCTGAGCATGTACGCCAGACTGAGGGGCATCCCAGAGAAATATGTCACCGCCTGTGTGGAAAACGTCCTGCGTTCGCTGCTGCTCGAACCTCACGCTGACAAACTCGTCCGCAGCTACAGGTATGAACATCAAACCTGAAGCCTCATTCACACTACAAGCAACTCACATTGGCGTTTGGACAAGCGACCGAGTGCGGCGACTTCCATTAGTGCGAGCGACAGCGACTGTTGGCGAGTCTAGAATGTGACAAAGTTGAGAATCCTTCAAGTTTATCCAAATGAAGAACCGATTTCTTGAGCCGACAGCCAATAGGAGCAGCAGTAGAGCTCATGTGAGCTCACGCAAAGGCTGGTTGTATTCTCCATGCTGTAGACCTACACACTCCTGCGTTTGCAGCAGATCGCCACCCTGAGCCAAAGACAGCTACAAAGTTGCTTCTAGTGTGAATGAGGCATAAGCGAAAGAGCATGGGTCTGTGTGTGTGTGTGTGTGTGTGGGGGGGGGGGGGGTCGATATAATAGATCAGTGGTTAGATATATAGAACCATTAGATTCGAAAGTTAGAGAAAGTTTAGACATGATTTACAGCTAAAAACAAATCCGTCCTGTGGCATGGTTTATTTTGGAGGATGGTTAATTAAACATGATGTAACTGATGGTTGTACGTACATGATGAACTACAATTACGGGTAGTTGATAGCGCATGTGCAATAGGAAGACTCTGAATATCATAAGTCATATTGTTTTGTAATGAAATATTGCTGGGGTGTTTCGGTTTGCATAGACAAGTGTTTGGTCTTGCTCAAACATCTATTTATTTTATAACTGCTTTAAGGGCTTAGTGGCCACATGTGTGGACAGCACATTTTAGCTCTTAAGTGGCTATTTAAAATACTTTTCCTCCAACTGTTTTGCAGCATATGAAATGTTCCAAAAACTATTTTCAACTGTGCAAAATGGGAAAAATTGTTTTTACTCTCTGATAGTCAGAACAAAAGCAAAAAAATTTTTTATGTATGCATAAAAAAAACAGTCAGGAAAAAGTGTTTCATGTAAATTCGGACCACAAGTGCACATATATGGACATCATCTTTCTCTAAAAGTACATCTCATCAAAAGATGATACTTAGGTTTTATTCTAATTAGATTCTAATAAGCCCAAATAGCAGAGAGAAATAAAAAATGCATGTAAAAAAAATGGGCCTTAAGAGGTTAAACCCCACTTCTTTCTTATTTTACTACCAATTGGACAATATTGTCACAGTGTAGATATTCGTTTTACTTTATAGCAGCTAAAGCAGTGAAAAAAGACCAAAAAAACAGGCATCCGGAGATGACAGCAAAGAAATTAGTCAAAGTCAACTTTATTGTCCATTCAGCCACATGTACAGGACATATAGAGAATCGAAATTGCGTTACTCTCAGACCCTAGGTGCCTAACATATAATATTAATATAAGAAGTAAAGTTTTAAGAAAAAGAAAATTTACAATATATACAGCTGTTCATTAAAATGTGGTCTGAAAATATACATAAAAAATAAACTATTGTAAACAGCAATGCAGCTATCGCTAACAAGCCTGGAGGAACAGCGAAACTCCCTCTCTTCAGACTTTAAAACTACCATTTCAACACTCGAAGCTGAAGCAAATTCAAACTACTGTGATGGAACACGTCTCAAATATTGCTTCACTCAAAACCTATGATGAGCACATGCCTTGGAAACTATGTGTGCTATGCTAACCCTGCTGAAAAATACAGCCTATATGGTTAGCTGGTTTTAGCTGGTTGACCAACCTGGTTTTCGAGAGGTTTAGGCCACTTTCAGGCTGGTTTCCAGCCATTTCCAGCCTGATCTTGGAAAAAAACATCTAAAACCAGCTTGACCATCCTGGTTTAAGCTGGACATAGCTGGTTTTGGCTGGGCTCCCAGTCAAAATTGGCTAGGCTGGTCAAGCTGGTTTTAGCTGGTCATCTCCCAGGCTGGAAATGGCTGGAAACCAGCCTGGAAATGGCCAAAACCCCTCTAAAACCAGCCTGGTCGACCAGCTAAAACCAGCCAACCAGCCTAGGCTGGTTTAAGCTGGATTTTTCAGCAGGGAACAGAGCATAATTGGCAAACTTTTTGCTAAAGTTCTGGATCTTGAGTCCCGTAGCAGGCAAAATTAAATATTTCTGCTTATTTTTCTTCTTCACAGTGGTGGCAATAAAAGAAAGTTGAGCGCAGGCATGGCTCTGATTGGTGGTCCGCCTGTGATCTTCCTGGATGAACCATCCACTGGCATGGACCCTGTGGCCAGACGGCTGTTGTGGGATGCAATCACGCGCACCAGAGAGTCTGGCAAAGCCATCATTATAACCTCACACAGGTCGGTCACACACACACACCTCTGCACTAACCAAGCAATACATTTACATGGACATCAGTAATCTAACTATTTACCCTAATCAGAATAAGGCAATAATATGATTGAGTTGCTTTTAGAGCATTCCCGTTTTACATGTTATTCTGCATAGATCAATTAATGGCATTGCATTAACACGCTATCCAAAGTTTCTTCCGGAGTTAATGTAATTTCGAGGGCTTCCTCTTTCAACTTCAACTGTAGTTCAGCAGTTTCACTTTCGTTCATGTCCTCATAACAAACTCTGAGGTGCTGGATGAGAGTATGAAGTAAGAACTGATAAGAGAGAGTTAAAGAGAGAAAAAATGTTAAATTGTAAGATTGTTAAAATATTGTTATAATTATTAAAAAGTAATATTTATAAATTGTTTTCCCAGAGATGGGTTGTGGCTGGTAGGGCATCTGCTGCACAAAAAATGTGCTGGATAAGTTGGCGGTTAATTCCGCTGTGGCGACCCCGAATTAATAAAGGAACTAAGCCGACAAGAAAATGAATGAATGAATGTTTATAAACTGTTGTAAACTTGGTCAGTTTTTTTTGCAATGACTGATATGGCAATAAAATTAAAACTCACGTTCCCTCATAACGAACAAGGAATTATTCAACGGAGCAACATGGGCATTGTGTAATTTCACAGATGACCACTAGAGGGCATACAGTGCACTTTTATTTTGTACATCTACATCAAACTGAATGTCTTTAGATGCACTAAATATCCCTTTGTGTGATGAGTATTGGTGTCTATGTAAAGCAGACCTCCCTCTCTCTCTGTCTGCAGTATGGAGGAGTGTGAGGCGCTGTGCACTCGTCTGGCTGTGATGGTGAACGGTCAGTTTAAGTGTCTGGGCAGCCCACAGCACCTGAAGAGCAAGTTCGGCAGCGGGTACACACTTCTGGCTAAAGTGCGTGTGGAGACGGAGCTGGAGGAGAGTGACCTGCAGCTCTTCAAAGACTTCATTGAGAGCACTTTTCCAGGTTTCTAAATCAACACGGTGTGCATATCTTGCTGGATATGGGTTGAATGCTTTGCTAATTTTTCATATTATGGCTCTTGCAGGAAGTTTACTGAAGGATGAACACCAGGGCATGGTCCACTATCACCTGACAGATAAAACACTGACCTGGGCACAGGTAACGTTTCACACACATGTAGCCTTAACAGTTGGATTTGGATGTTTATACTGTGTACACATGTTATTTATGCATGAACTATGCAGTAGATTTTTCCAAAATATTCAGTTTTCCTCAAATCATTGCATTTAATTTGACTTTTTTTTCTTTTTTTAGCTTATTCTGCTCTTAAATGTAAAAAAAAAGTTCAAATTGTAAAAAGTATACAAATTATTATTGTAAATATCTATTTTTTGTTATATAGTTCAAACTCTGATGCATTTATTTTATTTTACACAAAATATTTGTATATAATAAAAATTTATTGTAGCTGTTTGTAAAACAGTATTTCTCATGCAGTGTTTGTGGAAACTTCAAATAGACGTAATCAGGGCTTTACATTAACACCCGACAAATGCAGGTAGATTTCAGCTCTGGCGGGTAAGACAGCCGCTCCCACTAGACACTTTGGCTGGTTGGAAAATTTTTTTACATTGCAGTTTTCTTAAAGCAGGGTTCGACTATAAGGAATCTCCCAAAATGTGATCTTAGAATCGAGAAGCAGCAAAACTGACAAAAATAACTGTGTTTGCGCAAACAAAAGCAGAATACCTTATGAGAGGATGATTACTTGCGCGCACAGGTGATGTGATGCGTACGACTGTTAGTGTGCGCTCCCGTTTATTTGCGTCAAACAACTGTGTGTAAAGGAAGCGCAACTGGTGCGATCGGTTCTCTTTGAAATAGAATAGACAAAAATGCTCATGTACCCACAGTCCTGCTGCTTTCAAGAGCTCAAGATAAAAAAAAAAAAAAAATATATATATATATATATATATATATATATATATATATAATATATATTATATAAAATATATATATATACATACACCCTTTTGTAAGCAGCAGCAGTCACTGCTTTTGTTTTAAATATTCTTTGAACAAATTATTAACAGGCCTAACATTAACTGTGCATGTGGTCAGCCTTTTATTATCACACACGGTAGGTTTTTTACCTGCTTTCTTTTGCTTACAGTTATTTTTGTTAATATAGTTTAATTATCATCCTTAACAACAACATTGCTTCAATGGGAGATTAATTCCCCATTTATGTTAACTGCTGATGCTGATGCATATTTTAGATGCATGACAAGATATCTTTTTAAACGTCAATAAAAAAACAAACAAACAAACAAACAAACAAACAAACAAGCAAACAGGTTTTCTTGAATAAAAAGTACATGTGTAGGTATATTTAGCTTGTTTTGACACATTTATAATTTGTGGCAAAGAAATAATTATTAATTTTTGGTGTGGTCACAGATAAAGTTGGTAAATTCTTCATTTTGAGCCCTAAATAAGTCATGTGAAATAAAAACTAACTGCAATGCGAGACAACCCATTTGCTCATGCACACAGAGCAAGCTCATACACAACACACAAAATGTGAAATGAATGAGGAGGCATGTGGACAACACAACATCTAAATCAAGTAATTTTAGCATGTCAAAGTCACATTTATTCATATAAAATATATTTTTCAAACAACAAAAGTGTGACTAGTGAAAATGGCGAATTTCTAGTAATGGTGGAAATCTATAGCCACAGTGGCTGGTGATCAAAAAAGTTAATGTCAAGCTCTGGCCTTAATCATTTTTTTACTGTACAAACTGTATATTCTCTCCCTCAACCCTCACAGAAAAGGATCTGCATGTTAACATTTCCAAAATGCTTCATTCTGTCTGATTTATGAGCCATTTTCCTCAAGGGGACCAAAAATTGTCCCCACAAGGTCAAAATGTACTTGTATTGCTATACTTGTGGGGACATTTGGTCCTCACAGTCTAAGGAATGCAAGACACACAGATACACACAATGTAGTGTACTTAAATATAATACATCTGATTGTTACTTTTGCATATACACATATTTATATAGTATCTTAGACATAACCAACATATTAACAAACTTCTGTATATAATTTGTTATATAATCTTTAATATATGCCACTGTGTGTGTGTCCGTGCGTGCGTGCGCGTGCTTGCGTGTGTGTGTGTATATATATACACACACACAGGCCTTAACATTAACACCCACCAACCCACCAAATGCGGGTAGGTTTCAGCTTTGGCAGGTTAGACAGCCACTCCCACTAGCCACTTTGGGCTGGTTGAAAATAATTTTTATATTGTGGTTTTCTTAAAAGCAGGGTTCGACTATAAGGATGACCTAATATGCATGCAAATGTGATCTTACAATCGAGAAACAGCACGAATAAAAAAATAAAATAAATTTGCGTTCGTGCGAGTAGAAGCAGATGAATACCAAAAGAGAGGACGATCACTCGCGCTAACAGCTGATGTGATGCACGCGACTGTTTAAAGCTTGTGCGCGCTCCTGTTTCCTTGCTTGAAGCAATCGTGCCTAGAAGTAGAAAGCAATTGTGATCGGTTCTCTTTCAATAGACCAGACAAAAAGTAATGCTAATGCACCCACAGTCTTGCTGCTTTCAAGAGCTCCAACTGTCTTTTTGTAAGCAGCACCGGTTGCTTTCGCTTTGAACAGATTATTAATTGGCCTTAACCGTGTGATCATCCTTCCATTATCTCACAGTATGTTTTTCACCTGCTTATCGTTATTATTGTTTTTATAGTTTAATTATATTTTTTACAACAACGTTGCTTTAATATGAGATTAACTCTCCATTTATGTGTAGTTAACTGGTGAACTGAGACCTTTAAAGGGCCATGAAACCCCCTCGTTTTAGCAGGGTGTTTTCACACCTCTACTTTGAAAAAAGTCAGAAAAGTGGGCGTGTCCAGCTCTGTTTAGGGGGGAGTGTCGGAGGAACTAAAGTGGGAGGGTGTGGGAGTGTCTATTTGGGCACGCGCGAGTTTCAGTCAAAATACACACACATGAGAAAGTGATGGTGTTTAACCTACATGGACATCTATAGTCGAATTATTTGCCAAATTATTAAATGTTGGACTTTAACTGCAGTTTGGCTCTTTCATTCAGGGAATTCATTCATGCCCCTCGCGACAAACGAGATATTTGATTCGAGGAACTGCTGTAAGCGTGTATTTTTCATGCAATGTTTGATACCGCACGGCGAATGAGAGAAAAAAAAACTCAGCATTTTCCGGAAACTTAGATGCACACGGCAGGTAGTGTCAGAAAGCCGCGTGTGTTATTCCGGTCACTAAATGCGGTGCTAACATGTTTGCACTCAGTGCAATAGTTAACTTAATTCGATACGAACAAACTGAATAAACAAAGAGCACTGGTCGCTCACTTACCAAATCTGTAGAGACAGAACAATCACCAGCAACTAGAGCCGCGTCTTTATGAAGAGAATACTACAAGCGAATCCAGATCTCAGCATTTGCAGATGAGAACAGCTCTCAGGTAAACAATAATCCTCCTTAGACACGTAAGTTATTGTTGTCGAGCGTCGCGTACACTGTTAATCCACACGTGAGTCTGAGCTCTCACAGAGAGAAAATGAAAACGAAACTTAATGGCAGCAAACTATAAAAGCAACACTTCACGCTTGTTTTGCCAACACAACGTGGCGTCTCTGTTGTGTAAACACGGTGACAGTAATGAATATTAATGAAGCTGCACAATAGAGCGCGCTGATTGGTTTGAACCAAGCCTTACTCATGCATTAATGCAGCAGGCTGTAAGACGTAATAAGACTCACTCTGGCACAGACGCCCAGTCTGCACGCTGGAATACATTGCTATTATGTCATGACCGTGAAGCAGCTTCAAAAGTTCGTTTCAAACAGGAAGTACGAATTTGCTTGAAATAACGCAAAAACAACCAATTTACACTTTTTAGTGAAATATAGGTGTCCTAATAGTGTTTTTAGCAGTGTGGGACACATATACGACTGTCAACAGCTCAAAAAATGTGTTTTGGTGTTTTGTGACCCTTTAATGAGGTCAGATTACTGTGCACATTTTTGATGCATGACAATAATTTTTTTTAAAGTCAATTGTTTTTCTTAGTTTGTTTGTTTTTTTTTTAAGAAAAGTTTTGTTAAATAAAAAGTATTGTATACAGCCATATTTAGCTTGTTTTGACACATTTAAAATTTGTAGCTAAGAAATAATTAGTGTTTGGTGTGATCAGAGATAAATTTGGTAAACCCTTAATTTTAAGTTCTGAAAAGTCCTGTGAAATAAAAGCTAATTGCAGTATAACACTATAAAACCATGACCCATTTGCTCATACACGACACACAAAACGTGAAATGAATGTGTACAAAATCTATATCAAGTAATTTTAGCATGTCAAAGTCATATTTATGCATATAAAAATGGTTTCCCAACAACAAAATTGTGGCTAGTGAAAAAGCAGAGTGCCTAGTAACGCTGGAACACTACTAGCCACTGTTGCTGGTCATCAAAAAAGTTAATGTCAAGCCCTGTGTATATATATATATATAATTCCACTTGGGGATACTTACCCCGAGGCCTCTAGAGATTGTGCAGCACCATTGATGTGCCTCAAGGACAACAAATAGGAAGAGATGATGCCAACCATACAGGACTTCTAGAGGTCTCCATAATCCTGGATCAGGCCGTATCCTAATCAGCTGCTGTGGTGGTCATGGAGGAGTGGAGAGCATGAGACTCATCCCTGAAAGACCAGTGACAGATGAGTCTCCGCATTGATCCTGTGGGCCAGCCTGAACACCTGCCGGTGACCTACTCACACCCGCAGCTTCTCCACGATGGACTTCCAGCGCTCTCCAGCCTCTGGCGCCTAGACTGCAGCTTTGCACAAGAAGTTTGGCCATTGGAGAAATGATCGTGCCTAACCGAGCCTGGATTCTATCAAGGTGTTTTGGTTCACTTTCGTTAATTGGTGAAGTTTGTTCCTCGCCACTGACTTGCTTGGTTTAAGACTTGTGGAACTGCACATCGATTGATTTGCTCTTCAGTGCTTGGACTCTCAACAGTGAAACATTGGAATGTAGAGAAATGTATTGCATGTACTTGCAGAACGGCGTTTCCTGCATAAAGAGCGCTCATCTTCAAGAGAACAACCAGTCAGTTTTAGCCGTAAAATAGTTACGACTTCTGATTTCTAACATGTGTTTTTGTGCTCAGGTGTTCGGTGTTCTAGAAACAGCCAAAGAGAAGTACAGCATCGAGGACTACTGCGTCAGCCAGATCTCACTGGAGCAGGTGTTTCTCAGCTTCGCTCAGTTCCAGCACTGCGCCGAGGCCTGCAGGAAGTGACACGCTGAGTGAGGCTCCTCCCCCTGACATTCACCTAAAGATGAGGAGATGCCGCCTGGGGCGACTGACTCTCGGTCAGACCACTGGACATTGCTCAGGTGTCTCTCCTCTCACACACACACACACCTGACATGATCATAAACACTGACGCAAGATCTCGGCCAGTTATTTCAAGCCTGAATGTGCGTTTGAGTCTCGACAGGATGTTCATCACACTATCTGAAAGCAGATGTCTTTTTTAAATTGGTGAGAAGAGACGTTGAGATATCTAATGTGTGCACTTGCTGTGTTATTTATGAATGTCTGTTTATTTTTGTTTGTTTTCTTGAGAATGAAGGTACACGTGTGTTAGTCCCTCCCTGATGAAAAAAGGGCAGAAATATTGAAAAACGACGTCCAAAAAATAAGGAAAAGTGCTGCTTCTTTGGGCTTTGCAATGTTGTAGATTATAAATTGAAGGGAGTTTACTGATTGATATTTTTAATGGCGTTTTTTAAAATTTCCACAAGAGCTCCATTCCCCTCGTAAAGCAATTTGTAGTCCGTAATTCATTGGAAATCAGAGTTTGTGTCAAAAGATGTCATTTTTAATGATACTTGCTGCTAAAAGCCAACTCCAAAAACATTCCTTAGTTTCTCAGCACGCATTTCCAAAAAAAAAACAGAAATGTTTTAACGATTTTTCTCTTCACATGTGACATTGCTTCTTTATTTTTTTGCTTTGGATTGTGACGTACAAAGGAATTATTCAATGGTGCAACAGGGGCATTGTGTAATTTCGTGGATGACCACTAGAGGACGTACAGTGCACTTTTTTCTTTTAGAAAATCTACATCAAACTGAATGTCTTTAGATACACTAAATGTCCTCTTTATGATGAGAATCTGTCATAAGCGCAACGCTTTTGTGTTTGCTCCTGTGGTTCGGACTTGTTTAGCAGTGTTTGGTAGCACTACTGATCATGCGCTATCAGAAAGAGACACAAAAGAGCTGACAGAATTGAACGTGGCTGTTCACAAATCATTCATTTATTCCATTGAATGTCTTTATGGACCACAAGGAAGTAAGTTTGATGCTGCTGAGCTAATCCCTCCAGTGCTTTAATCACTGTTACGCCAAGTCTTGAGTCAGTCTGAAGGGTTTCAGAGAGACTCAATACAATCAGTGAGGAAAAGCAAAACTGACATCAGTTCAACCTGCGCAGGTCCACGTTTCCGTCCTGATTCATCTTAACTGAATGTACTCCTTAGCGAAGGAGGAAAAAACACGGGCTCATCGGTGGCCTTAACCTCGTACATGCTGACATACTGTAGATACAACAGGGCTCGAGGGTGACTGACCACAAACTAGTTTGTTTTCTATGTTTTTGTCGATTGTCGTCTAACTGGCTGTCGTGTCTGAACTGCTTGTCTGAAACTGAAATACTGCATTTTGAGAAGGCGAACCTGAGAATGACAATGATGATTAACGATGGTCAAATATTTACCATAATGCAAAAAGGGAATTTCCATTGTAATCTTGTGTACTGTATCACTAAATTAACCTTGTGAGAAATGTAAGTATTGCCATTTTCCTTTTTTATTATTAAATATGCCTTATGCTAAGGAATTGTGTTCAGTTGTTGTCTCCTTTGTGTTTACATATATACGTATACACAGGGCCGGAGTGGGACTCAATTTCAGCCCTGGAGTTTCAAGACAGACCGGCCCACCTCAGTTCACGACTGATTCCAATTCAGTTTCTAATGACACTATCATGTATTTTTCAAGAAAACAGCTACTTTAGAAATTCAACTGTTCAACAGCCCTAACAGTATTATATGTCTTAACAATAAAAAAAATAAAAATAAAAAATAGTTTTTCAGGTGAGATTCGAACACGGGTCCGCAGTGTTATTAGGTAATGTACTTACCACTGGTCCACAGTTGCACTATTACAGTGAGTATAAAAAATAAGTAATGACTTGTGACCCTTAGGACACAGCATTACTTTCTTTTGATGGCTCAATCTTTTTCTCCCCTTTTTAGATTTCTGATCAAGTTATGTCAGATTTATTAATGTAGTGAATCATCTGATTTTCATTGAGCAGATGTATTATCCATTAATATTAATTATTCAAATTTTTATATTCACTAAGGTGCCGCTGTTTGGGGTCGATAGTTACATCATCATCATTAACGTTAGTTAACCTGCGGGCTGCATTTTGCTCACTGGGCTGTGAGAAAATAAATAAGAAGAGCGGCGCTGCTGCAAAATAATGAATAAAAAGATTAAAGCTATGGTCAAATAAATAAACAACTGAAAAAGGTGTGACTGCTGAGAGTGAAAGCAGCTAGGGACACCAACCCTCGCGGCCAAAAAACAGACCGGCTCACCGGGAACTCCCCCGGTCCTCCCGATTAGCCAATCCGGGCCTGTGTATATATATATATATATTTATACTGTATAAACAAAAGCAAGAATTTGGTGGAGGTTTGTTCAACAAAGCTAATTCCGCTTTTACCTAGATAAGTTTTTTTTAGTTTGAGCAAACTCTTGATCTTTTTCTCTTTTTTTTGGGCTCAAGAAGGCGAGTTGGTTTTGATTTAGATTTGTCACAATGGTAACTTGTGCTACACTGTAACTGGCTCTGGAGCATGTTCTGTTCCATGCTGTGACGTGACACCAGACGTGACACCTAAGGATAAATTACGCAAATATACGAGTGAACATTTTGAAATGGGTGAACATTTCGCACGTCACAATAGACGTGGATTGGCGTCAGGGCTTCTGTCTGCTCTAGCTTTGTTGCTAAATGGCTAACATGGTTTTTATTCAGGGGGAATAACAGTGTTTTTTTTCAGTCAACGTTTCAGTCAATGTTTCTGTGCGGGTTCTCCCTGTGCTCAAGTGGGTTTCCCCCAGGTTCCCTGGTTTCCTCTAACAGACCAAAGACATGAGACAAAAGTAAATTGACTAAACCAAATTGGCACAATAGCAGAGTTCTTAGAGAGCAGTATTTGTCCTTCATAAAGCAATTAGTCATTAGCCACAAGTAAGCAAGGAAGTTCTTGAGATGTTCCTGAGCTCAAACTCCCCTCTTGCCCTACAAACGGGAGGTAGCCCAGGGCTCGAGGGTCTTTTGAGCTCAGGGCTCTTTCCCGGGACATCATGCCAAACAGGCTTATAATTAATCATCAGCTAAGTGTGAACTCTTCAACCATGAATTCTTTTGTTTTTGTCAACTCTGAACTTGCTTTTGTAAGTTTTACTTATCACTTTTGTTACATGCGAAAAGGTTGGTTTTGTGACAGAAAAAGCAGCTGCTCACAATTCACTTCTGTTCCGGACTAGGAAAGTTCTAGTACGTTTTTTTAGGTTGTATTTTAATAGATTTAAATGATTTTCTAAATATTTTACTATACAAAATTTTATAAAATATCTGTTTGTTTGTTTGTTCATTCAATGCAAGTACAGTGCATCTGGAGAGTATTCATAGCGCTTCACTTTTCCACATTTTTTTTCTTGTTCTTTGTCTTGTTCCAAAATAGATTCCATTTATTTATTTCCTCAAATCTAAACGCGACACCCAATAATGACAATGTGAAAATTAAAAATAAAAAAAAACTGAAAATTACAGTATTCACAGCCTTTGCTCAATACTTTGTTGATGCACCCTTGGCAGCAATTACAGCCTCAAGTCTTTTTGAATATGATGCCACAAGCTTGCCACACCTGTCTTTGGGAATTTTTGCCCATTCCTCTTTGCAGTATCTCTCAAGCTCTATCAGGTTGGATGGGAAGTGACGGTGTACATCCACTTTCAGATCTCGCCAGAGATGTTCAATAGGATTTAGGTCTGGGCTCTGGTTGGCCCACTCAAGGACAATCACCGAGTTGTTGTGAAGCCACTCCATTGATATTTTGGCGGTGTGCTTTGGGTCATTGTCCTGATGGAAGAGGAACCGTAGCCCCAGTCTGAGGTCAAGAGCACTCTAAAGCAGGTTTTCAGTCAGGATGTCTCTGTACATTGCTGCATTCATCTTTCCCTCTATCCTGACTAGTCTTCCAGTTCCTGCTGCTGAAAACCATAACTGCCTTAACTGTAGGGATGGTATTAGCCTGGTGATGAGCAGTGCCTGGTTTTCTTCAAATGCAACAACTTGCTTTCATACTAAAGACTTCATTTTTCGTCTCATCAGACCAGGGAATTTTGTTTTTTATGGTCTGAGAGTCCTTCAGATGCCTTTTGGCAAATTCCAGGTGAGGAGTGGCTTCCGTCTGGCCACTCTACCAGACAGGCCTGATTGGTGGATTGCTGCACAGATGGTTGTCCTTCTGTAAGGTTCCTCTCTCCACAGAAGAACGCTGGAGCTCAGACAGAGTGACCATCGAGTTATTGATCATCTCCTAAGGCCCTTCTCCCCCGATCACTCAGCTTAGATGGCCGGCCAGCTCTAGGAAGAGTCCTATTGGATCCAAACATCTTCCACATTCGGATAATGGAGGCCACTGTGCTCATTGAAACTTTCAGAGCAGCAGAATTTTTTGTGCCTCTGGACAATCCTGTGCAGGTTGTCCAGATGAAGGTCAAAGAGGTGAGCTTTTCAGACACGACAAGAGCAAGAGGTCGGTCTGTGTGTATTTTTTTTATGAACCATTGTTTTGAACTTTTCCCTGCCATAATCCACGGTCACACAGCACTTCACGCCCCATAGACTTCCATTAAAACGTGCAAATGCAGCAGACTGGAAATGCAAGCTCGTGTGGCAAGTTTCACAGTTCGTTTAGTTGGAAAGTTCTAGCTTGGTGAACTCTTGATTATTAAAGTAAGTTTTTTTTGGGAGAACAACTTAACTGTTTTATGTTCATTCCACTTAAATTTACTTAATCTTACTTAATCAATTTGTGTTGGGACAACATGGAGTTGTAATGAACCCAGCATTTTTTTGGCAGTGTAGGTCAGTTCATCTATTGTTGAGATTAATCCAGCTGAGATTGAGGCAGTTGTATCATTACTGAGCTATCAAGCAGTGTGATATTGATTTTACCACTGGCGGGGAAAGAGCCAAAAAGAAACACAGTGACCCAAGTATTCATGTCAGAAAGCTGCATGTGGTAAATATAAACCACATTATTACCGTTAAGCATTTATGATTCCAGACCTGTTAGCATAGAACACTGTAATAAAAACATGATGTTTTGACCTCTGTGTTCCTTGGAAAATGTTTGTCTGACTCCTGACACAGTTAAAGCTAATCTTCCTCAGACAGGTGAAGGTTCAGCCATGGGGAAGGAGGATGAATGACAAAAGGTAAAGTATACAGTCGCATTAATTGTCTGAACAGCATTGACCAAGTGTTTCAGTGTGTTTCAAATGCTGGATTGTTCATAATTTGCCCTTAAGTGGTTCCAAGCCTTCATGAGATTCTTCTGTTGAACAGAAAAGAAGATATTTTGAAGAATGTTAAAAACCTGTAAACAATGGCATCTACAGTAGATGAAACAAATGGAAGTCAATGGTTAAAGGTTTTCCTCAAAATATCTTCCTTTGTGTTCTAATAAAAGAAACTCAATGATTAGTGAAACGTTTCAAAATCTTCCGTTTTGGGTGAATTTTGCCTTTGATTAACTCCAATATCTTTATTTGTTTTTGTTCAGTGTCTTTAAATTAGTCATTTTTCATAGATAAACCTGAGGTAGAGTTCATTTTATCATCATGACCCACTACTGTTTAATTATAATGTAGTACAGATGTCACACAGATTTAAGCATGTGTTGCACAATGTTATATTACCTGGTCTTATCTATTGCAGGCATGGAAAATCTGCTGTTGTAATATGATGATGTGATTCAGCATTACTCGTCATTTATTTGTCAGCATATAAGGCCAAATAAACAGCGGAGGGAGGTACAATGCTGCACAGCTTGGTTAACATTTATAGTAGCTTTTATTGGTAATTACTGTATAAAGGGACTGTTAGTTACTGTTTGACTGAAAGTCAGTAGCTGAACATCAAGGGAACACTTGTGCTTAGTTCATACTACACCACTTTAGCCCTGATTTTTGCGTCGACAGGTTTTGTGAAAAATCCCTAAGATTACAGTGGGTGAAATTAGATATTGGACAGGTAATCATTCCGAAAGTGCTGTTGACTTGAAATCGATGCTTGTAAGAACTTAAGAAATTCATATATGCAAAGAACACACATCTAATTAGTTTACAAATAAAGTTCTGTGTAATAAAATTACATGAAACCGGGGAAAAATTAGTGAACACATGAAGAAAGGAAGGTGTAGAAAGGCAGTGAATGCCCAGACAGCAGCTGAAATCTCTCAGCACTTCTTCAGCAATCATCTGCCCTTCCTCATTGGGTAAATTCCTATCAGCTGCTTTAGTCCAACATCTACATTGTGAAGATGAAGACCAGGGTGGACATTTCAGCAAGACAATGATCCAAAACACAGCCAAGGAAACTCTCAAATGTTTTCAAAGAAAGAAAATCAAGCTGTAGAATGGCCCAGCCAATCACCTGACTCCAATCCAGTATTAAATACATATTAAAGATCAGATTTGATTGACGAGACACAAAGAACCATCAAGATTTTTACACTGTTGAAGTCTGAGCAATGCA